GAAGATCTAATGGAAAAACGGAACTTATATAGAAGTTATAATAACAAAATACTTGACCCCCTCCCACACACCCACACACACACACACACACCTACAAACACAATTCTGTAATCAAAATTACGTCCATGCAGAGGACCAAAATGGACATTTGAAAAAGTGCAGGAGACATTCGTCCTGTCTCGGCTACCCTCTTCCACTGTGCCTGCCTGCCTGCACCTGATCCTGTCTGCTCCTGTGCGTGACCACCTGGTCATGCTTCTGGTCCCAGTAAGACTCTGAACCCTCATGGAAGCCTGTGGATGCATGGAAGTCTGGATCCTGCCACCTGTCTCTGTTCCTGCCTGATCTGGATCCTGCCTGTTTCTCTCTGTTCCTGTCTGTTCTGGATCCCTCACCAGGATCAGCTTCCACCATAACCTCTGGGTCTGCAGCACTGGGGCCACTCTTGGTCTGGACTGTTAACCAGATAGGTGACCAACCCACATAATGAAATATCAGTTGATCGTGGTCACTTACCTGTGTTTTCTCCCCTAGAGTGCCTGTGATTGGGCGGTGCCCCCCCAGCCTGCAGTGACCGCGAGCCACAGCTCCACTTTAGTTTAGTTTTATTTAATAAACGTTTGAACTTTCCTACTGACTGTCTCGCCTTGAATACTGGGTCCATCTGTCCTTGGTTCATGACAAAATGTTGCAAAACACAATAGGAACAACACTTAAAGCGGCTTCATTCCAATTTGTTTCATCCTTTGCAGAAAAATCATTGTTTGGTTGAATTAATGACTGAGATATGTAAGATAACTTAAAGCACAGTTCACTTGCTTGTACACTGCTGTTGATTCCATAGCTGTCTTCATAAACATATTTCTTTCTCTCAGTTTGCCCACAATGGGTAGAATAATCTTACCATAAACTATACCTGCTACCTGTTTTGTTTATGTGGTGGCCAATTATAGACAAAATGACAGACCCACCAAATCTCAGGGAGGTTTTCCGAGATTTTTTTTTTTTTTTTGTAAAACCATCTATACACTTTGACGAGTGTTGGGCACATGGTGTCACTGTTGAACATTAAAGTAAGGGGGGGGGGGGTGCTTTCTGAAATCACGACACACCTTTTTCACAGGGTGTTAAGACTACGCAGCTTTGTGGATGCTTTTATGATTTAAGAACATCTCCAAACCCTCGTGGTTATGGGCAGGTTTCTATACCAGGATTTGAAAATACGCAAATAAACAATAGATTATTTTTTTTCCCTCTCCCAAGAAGAATGAGATTTTGGGTCTCTGTCTTTGTCTTGGCCGCTCTGTGGCCTGGCGCTTTGTCTGTGACTCGGTACTCCATAGCCGAGGAGATGGAGAGAGGCTCTGTTGTGGCGAATCTAGCTGCGGATTTGGGACTTGATCTCGGAGGTTTGGCACAACGAGAGGTAAAACTGGATATCTTTACAACCAAAAAATATCTAGACTTTAACAAAAAGAGTGGCGAGCTTTACATCGTGGAGAAAATAGACAGGGAGGATCTTTGTCCGGCGAAGCCATCATCTTGTTTTTTAAAGCTCGATTTCATTATAGAGAGCCCTTTACGCATCTTCAATATTGAGCTCGGAATAACAGATATAAATGATAACGCTCCACATTTTCGAAGAGACAGAGTAGAGCTAGACGTTTCAGAATCCGCCACGCCGGGGGAGAGATTCTCATTGCCCAATGCGGTAGACCCAGACGTCGGAATAAATACGATTAAAACATACAGACTTAGTACGAGTGAACATTTTACTATAGAAATTCAGACAGGTACTGACGGAACTCAGTATGTGGATTTGGTATTAACGAAATCTTTAGACAGAGAGGAGAAGGCCGTGCATAAATTAATCCTGACAGCTGTTGATGGAGGTGTCCCTGTGCGCGCTGGCACCGCCAACATCATAGTAAGAGTACAAGACACAAACGATAACCCTCCTCGATTTGACAAACAGATTTATACAATAAATATGACAGAAAATACCCCGACAGGAACCCGGGTGGTTAATCTCAACGCTACTGATCTTGATGAGGGGCCTAATTCAGAGATTGTGTACGCATTCACTCTTTACACGTCGGAAAAAACGCAAGACGTCTTTGCGCTGAATCCTAACACAGGAGAGATAACTGTTAAAGGCACTATAGATTATGAAGATATGAAATTCTATGAGATGCACATTGAAGCAAGGGATAAAGGGACACCCCAGCTGCTGGGGAAGTGTAAAATAGTAGTGCATGTGACAGATATGAATGATAATTATCCAGAAATTACTGTTCAGTCTGTTAAAAACACAGTGCCTGAAAATATACCTGTAGGGACAGTTATTGCTCTGGTAAGTGTGAGCGACCGAGATACAGGAGATAACGGAAAAATAAACTTATCCATATTTGAAGCAATGCCGTTTTTTCTTAACAAATCAACAGACAGACCAACACATTATAATCTCATTGTGTCTGAGCCATTAGATCGCGAAAAGGTACCTGAATATGATATTAAACTGATTGCGAAGGATGCAGGGAGACCTCCTTTATATGACAATGAAACAATAACGGTTCACCTGCTGGATGTTAATGATAATGCGCCGAGGTTTCCCAGGTCATTTTTTACTATACGTGTCATGGAGAATAATGCACCTGGGGCCTTGCTCAGCTCGCTCACTGCATTTGATCCTGACCTCCATGAAAACCAGTATCTAGTTTATTTTATCATAGAGAAGGAGATCGCCAACACCTCCATGTCCATGCTGTTCTCCATCAATCCAGAGAATGGGAATCTTTACGCTCTGAAAACTTTTGATTATGAGATTGAAAAAGAGTTTCTTTTCCACATCGAGGCCAGAGACTCTGGTTCTCCTCCTCTCAGCAGTAACGTGACTGTTCACATCATTATTGTAGACCAAAATGACAACGCTCCAACTATAGTTTCTCCTTGGCGGGCTCATGGCTCAGTAGTAGAGGAGAAGATCCCCAGATCCACTGATAAAGGCTCTCTGGTGGCTAAAGTGATCGCCTTAGACACAGACTCTGTGCACAACTCTCGGATTACCTACCAGTTTCTCCAGGTGACTGATGCTTCCTTGTTCAGTCTGGATCAATACAACGGAGAGATCCGGACCATGAGATGTTCAGTTACAAAGACTCCCGCCATCACAGACTGATTGTTGTTGCCAAGGACAACGGGGAGCCTGCTCTCTCTGCTACAGTCACCATCAAGCTGCTGACAGTGGAGACTGATGTTAAGGCCTACTCTGACATGACTGAGATGCCTCTGGAATATGACATCTTTTCAGACATAAACCTGTATCTGGTCATAGGTTTGGGCTCGGTTTCATTTCTCCTGCTCATCACCATACTGGTCACCATTGTGCTGAAGTGTCAGAAACCAAAGCCTAACAAAGCTGCTCCTCCTAGCAGAAACAGTGTGATCAGTGAGAGGAACTCCACCATTGCAGACTCCACTCTGGTATCCAATGATGCCTACTGGTACAGTCTGTTTCTGGCAGAGACCAGGAAAGGAAAGCTGGTGGTTAGACAGCCTGTGCCAAAGGGTTCCAGGTACATCGTGTCCAGCCTACCGAGAGGGACAGGACTGTCAGAGACTAGTGGTTCAGCAGCTTCTACTCTGCAGGTGAGTACGTGTGTGACATATTTATAATCTTAAGTTTTCAGTGTTTTTTGTCATGGCATTTAGTAGAACACACAAGGCAGTCATTTTGACCGTTCTGAGATTTTGAAGTGAAATAATTTTTTATATTAATCTTATGTTGGTCATGTTAACTGACCTTTTCTGTTGATATATTTCCTTCATTTTCATGCTGTTTTTAAAAAATAAATTAAAAACCTAAAAAAATATCATGGATAATTTTACCTCCATCACCCACAGCCGTCATTTGACGGCTCTATTACTTGCATTGTAAATTCTTCCCGCTTTTGATTGACGTGCTGTATCGCTGCCTAGCAACAAACATTCCACCCAGAACACTCTTGACCTTTTTGGCTAATACGGAAAAATGGGTTTTAGAAGAAAACTAACAGTGAAACAGAATTTAGAATGCTTCAAAAATATTGATGAAAGTGATGTGGGCGGAGGTGGAGATGACTGATTGAGAGGAAACGGCTTAGATTCTAACAGCGAGGCTGATGATGATCAACCATCCCAGGCAAAACGCAGACGTGTCAGTGACCCATCAGACCATATGGAAACTTTTTTTCAACACCTCAGCCGGTACACCCATGGAGATAGCAGCTATAAACGCATTGGTTTTGTTTAGGAGCTGTTTGAACGTCACCATGTCACACATAGATTTTACATTCTAACTGGTAAAACAGCTGCGTGCAAACCACGCGCCAGAGAGCCGCAGGATACAAACCCCGCAGAAGAGCAGCTTTGGTGAGGCAAAGAAAACAGTGGCAGGCGCATTAGCGCTGCACAAAAAACAAAACAACAAAAAAAGCAAACATTAAAAAACGCTCATATGATGTTTGTCATAAATGTGAAAAGGTGGTGTGCGGGACATATGCGGGGGGAATCAATCTATTTCTGTAAATAAATGTTTTATTTCAAACTTTGAACCTCTGTAGTATAACAGTCTTATTTATTTTACTGATTTATTTATACAAATTTAGACTACAAATAATAATAGAACAATACAGCCTTTAAATATATATATATTATATATATTTTAAGGTTTACTTGTCCACAGGGAGTTTATAAGGCATACTAGAACTATTTCAGTCGATGACATCATCACTACTCTTGCATTCTATAGGGAAAAATGCCACCTGTCAAATTGATGGCCAGTGCGAGTTCTAGTACGATCAGATTTTTGGGAGTCCTTCCTGAGACATTTTTTGAAATGTTTACAAGGAAATCACGATGTATTCATGTGCATGTATAGTTTAAAATACGAACCAGTGCCTGAAGTTTCAGTTAAGATTGTTAGCTGCGCTGTTCACTACAAAATACTCCACGTCACATAGGATATGAGATTGAACCTCTTTCAGTGGAATGACGCGCAGGGAGGGGAAAGAGAGCGGCGTGATGCCACCCAACCATACAACAAAAACAATCTAAAATCAACGGATTATAATCAAAGACAGTTGGATTTGGCCAGAAATTTAATTCTCTCTTTTTTACATCATGATATCAGCGGCGATGCATTTAACGCTGAATCTGCGCGCAAAAGCCCCCCTTATAACAATGGAAGCACACAAGAGGTACGTGCTCTTCTTTTTTCTTTGTTTTTTCATCCGTCATTCAGCGACTTCGGTCAGCCATTATTCTATACCAGAAGAAATGAAAGCAGGGTCGGTTATTGCCAACCTTGCAACCGACCTCAGCCTGGATGTGAAAACACTAAAACAGAGGAAGATGAGAGTCGACATCATCGCAAACAAAAAGTACTTAGATGTGAACAAAGAAACCGGGGAGCTGTATATCGTGGAGAAAATTGACAGGGAGCACGCAGGACTTTGCACCAAATCCTCCTGTTACCTCAAGCTTGAGGTCATACTGGATAATCCAGTGCGGATTTTTAACATCGAAGTTGAAATCCTGGACATGAATGACAACGCCCCGCAATTTCGAAGAGACGTAATATATCTAGATATATCTGAAGCCGCTCCCAAAGGGGAAAGATTCTCTCTCAGCAACGCGGTTGATTCTGATGTTGGAATTAATTCGGTGAAAACATATCATCTGAGTGAAAATGAATACTTTAATATTGAGGTCCAGACTGGGCGAGACGGTTCAAAATTTGCTGATTTGATATTGAAAAAAACCTTAGATCGAGAGCAGCAAGCCGTTCATAATTTGATACTAACAGCTGTAGATGGAGGAACACCTTCTAGATCGGGTACTGCCAGTGTTATTGTTCGTGTTTTAGACACCAACGACAATGCACCTGCGTTTGATAAATCGATTTATAATGTTAAATTGATGGAAAACTCCCCTATTGGGGGCCTTGTTATTCATCTCAGTGCAACAGATTTAGACGAGGGATCAAATTCTGATTTAACGTACGCATATAGTTTATATACGTCGGAGAAGACACAAGAAACTTTTAATCTAAATCCAAAAACAGGTGAAATTACTGTGAAGGGAATGTTGAACTATGAGGATTTTAGGATTTATGACATGGAAGTCATAGCAACAGATAAAGGAGCCAACAGTTTGTCAGGACAATGCACCATAAAGATTATAGTTGAAGACATGAATGACAACCACCCTGAAATATCTATTAAATCATTTCAGAGTCCAGTCAGTGAAAACATAGAATTAGATACAGTGATAGCTGTAGTTAGTGTCAGTGATAAAGACTCTGGTGATAATGGAGTGGTTGATCTTTATATTCCAAAGAACATGCCTTTTAAATTAAAGGAGTCCTCTGATAACTATTATGAGTTAGTGGTGTCAGAGCCATTAGACCGAGAGAAGGTCCCAGAATATGACATCACTTTCACTGTCAAAGACAGAGGCTCTCCTCCTTTATTTGACAATGAAACTATGACTTTGGAGCTGTTGGATGTTAATGACAATGTTCCACAGTTTCCCCAGTCATTTTATACTATACGTGTCATGGAGAATAATGCACCGGGGGCCTTGCTCAGCTCGCTCATTGCATTTGATCCTGACCTCCATGAAAACCAGTATCTAGTTTATTTTATAATAGAGAAGGAGATTGCCAACACCTCCATGTCCATGCTGTTCTCCATCAATCCAGAGAATGGGAATCTTTACGCTCTGAAAACTTTTGATTATGAGATTGAAAAAGAGTTTCTTTTCCACATCGAGGCCAGAGACTCTGGTTCTCCTCCTCTCAGCAGTAACGTGACTGTTCACATCATTATTGTGGACCAAAATGACAACGCTCCAACTATAGTTTCTCCTTGGCGGGCTCATGGCTCAGTAGTAGAGGAGAAGATCCCCAGATCCACTGATAAAGGCTCTCTGGTGGCTAAAGTGATCGCCTTAGACACAGACTCTGTGCACAACTCTCGGATTACCTACCAGTTTCTCCAGGTGACTGATGCTTCCTTGTTCAGTCTGGATCAATACAATGGAGAGATCCGGACCATGAGGATGTTCAGTTACAAAGACTCCCGCCATCACAGACTGGTTGTTATTGCCAAGGACAACGGGGAGCCTGCTCTCTCTGCTACAGTCACCATCAAGCTGCTGACAGTAGAGACTGATGTTAAGGCCTACTCTGACATGACTGAGATGCCTCTGGAATATGACATCTTTTCAGATATAAACCTGTATCTGGTCATCGGTCTGGGCTCAGTTTCATTTCTTCTGCTCATCACCATACTGGTCACCATCGTGCTGAAGTGTCAGAAACCCAAGCCAAGCAAAGCTGCTCCTCCCAGCAGGAACAGTGTGATCAGTGAGAGGAACTCCACCATTGCAGACTCCACTCTGGTATCCAATGATGCCTACTGGTACAGTCTGTTTCTGGCAGAGACCAGGAAAGGAAAGCTGGTGGTTAGACAGCCTGTGCCAAAGGGCTCCAGGTACATCGTGTCCAGCCTTCCGAGAGGGACAGGACTGTCAGAGACTAGTGGTTCAGCAGCTTCTACTCTGCAGGTAGGAGAATAGTTAGTAATTCCACACTCTCTCTTTTTTATTACAAGCAGTGAAATAATGGTACCCTCTTTTTTGTTTATGTCACATCTACACAACTCAAACTTTTGCAATACACCTCAAGAACTATCTTTAAACTCTTAAAGTAATTTATTTGTAATCTTCAGTTATTCATTTTAAGTAAGGTACCTTTACTTTATATGCAGAAAAAAACTTAACCTTGTAAATAAATTTATGTTATTCTTTAATTATTTTTGATCAAAATTTGAAGGTTTGAAAACTGACCAATAAACATGCATCATTAGAATTTTACATTTTAAAGTGCTTTTGAATATTTTGAAACCGCATTTGACCCGCAATAAATACCTAGTAAGAAAATGGTGTTAAACGGTAAATGGCATGTACGTATATATAGTGCCTTTTTCAAGTCAGGTAACTTGACCAAAGCGCTTTACACTACATTCATTCACCCATTCACACACACACTCACACACTGATGGTGGCAAGCTACATTGTAGCTACAGCTGCCCTGTGGCTCACTGACAGAAGCGGGGCTGCCGCACACTGGCGCCACCGGGCCAGTGTAATTCCTCGGTTTGAAATAAAAACATTTGTAATTTTTACTTGAATATATATATATATATATATATATAATATTCATTAGGGATTTTCTAATTTGTTTGAAAAGCAGCAGAAGCAAGAGAAACATATTTAATAGTTAATGAAATAAGTTAAAATATGTAATTATTTACTCATTAAGAAAAATAATGTAAATGTATTTATTTAATTAATGCATCTCAAGTAACATTTACATTTTTACATTTACAAATAGAGATCTTTCCTGTTTTTAATTTATGGAATATATGGCACATTTGGCTTTCCATACATGCTCCAGTCGCATTTGATCCTATTTATAGGTTTTGACCTGTGTGTTTTCTACTTGTGTGATACGGTTAACTTTGACGACAAAATCTTCTGGTAAAAATCTTTCTGAAGCAGTAAAGGCTGTACAGCCGGATTGTCAATTTATTCACTTCCACCGTAGCATTGCTGCAGCCGCGGACGCGCCATAGTCACATCAGTCAAATTCAAAACATCTCAACCTCTTAACAATACCCATTGGCCCGGTCTTAATTATGACTTCATCTAGCAAAGATAGGGAAGAAACCCTTGACAGAAACTGCTGAGTTTTCTGCTCCATCAGAGCATTTACAGGCTATGCTAGGCTTTTGCAGGTTAGGACGATCTAAAGTTCTGTTCGATCTTAAGCTGTTCCTGCGCTTGAGGAGGCTTCTTCGGGTGAGAGCCGCTGTACCCTTCATATTAAAGTGATAGAGTTGCTGCTTGGCCGTGTAATGAGGGGAAAACACAGGTTCTGTATTTTCCTGTCTCCATCTGCAACGCAGCCAGTCTTATGTATAGAAGCTTGACAGGCATAGGAAACTGCGTCAAACTGGCTGGTGGGAAAACTTCCCTATAGTGCAGTGGATCATCGCAGGAAAGTAATAATCGGAAAATATTTTATGATGCTTCGGAATAAAACTCAAAATTCCTTGCATACATCTTTTAAGAAATAATTATATTTGTGGTAAAATATGTAGGGGGCTGGTTTACACCAATATCTCGCCTCCCATTGGTCCCGGGACAACTTGCCCGGTTGTCCACCCTGTCGGCGGGCGTGATTACAGGTTCCGCTCCCGCTCTGTTTACCTTTTGCCGCATGTCTCACCTCTCATTTTTCTGTCTCATTTATATCTGTATACCGTGAAAAATAATAAGTTAAAGGCCAACCATACACACAAAATAAAAAAATCACCCAACCACAAATTAATGGAAATAGTTATTGCATTAATTATGGGATACTGCAATATAGCCGTTTCAGTCAATTCCAATAAATATTAATAAAACACTGCAGATGTTTTACCTATTTTTTAAAATCTAAACCTACGATCCGTGCATCATCAGGCCAGAAAGATGGCGCTGTTCTTTATGCAGAACCAGACCCAGAACGTCATTATAGGAGGTCACTGTCATCGAGCCTTTTACACTCAGAGGGGACAGCAGCGTGGTGCTGAAATAGCAATCCGAATGTCGGGATGGAATCTATTCAGTTGTATTCCATTTGATTTATCTCTAAGGCTTTTGGAACATTGCATTTGTGAAAATAAGGCATCACCATACTACGGCGTCTGGGTATTTTAAGAGCTGTTTTTTTTAAACACCACAATGGGTCCTGATTTAACAAAGGGATCTCTGCAGAGGTACGTGCTGCCCTTTATTCTTTGTCTCCTTTTTTGCAATATATTGACCTCATCAGGGACCCATTACTCCATACAAGAAGAAATGAAAGAGGGATCAGTTGTTGCTAACATCGCTACCGATCTTGGTCTTGAGGTTGAATCATTGATAAACAGGAAGATGCGCCTGGACATCATTGCTAACAAGAAATATCTGGATGTGAACAAAGAGACTGGCGAATTGTACATTGTGGAGAAGATCGACAGGGAGCACATTTGCTATACAAAATCATCTTGCTATTTGAAACTTGAAATAACGCTGGAAAACCCGTTGCGAATATTAAACATAGAATTAGAAGTGTTAGACGTGAATGACAACGCCCCACACTTTCGAAGAGACGCGATTCATTTAGATATATCTGAAGCCACGCCCACAGGAGAGCGATTTTCTCTCAGTAATGCGGTTGATCCAGATGTTGGAAAAAATTCATTAAAAACGTATCATTTGAGTGAAAGTGAATATTTTAATATTGAAATACAAACGGGAAGAGATGGATCAAAGTTTGCAGAATTAATTCTGAAAAAGAAATTAGATCGAGAGAAGCAGGCTCTTCACAACCTCATATTAACAGCTATAGATGGAGGAACACCTGCTCGTTCTGGTACCGTTAGTATTGTTGTTCATGTTTTGGACACAAATGACAATGCACCTACATTTGATAAAGCGGCATACACCGTACAAATAATGGAAAATTCTCCTATTGGAAGCCTCGTTATTCACCTCAATGCAACTGATAATGACGAAGGTTCAAATTCTGAAATTGCATACTTATATAGTTTATATACATCAGAGAAAACACAAGAAACTTTTAATCTCAATCCGACTACAGGTGAAATTACTGTGAAGGGAATGTTAAACTATGAGGATTTTAAGATTTATGACATGGAAGTTATTGCAACAGATAATGGAGCCAACAGTTTGTCAGGACAATGCACCATAAAGATTATAGTTGAAGACATGAATGACAACCACCCTGAAATATCTATTAAATCATTTCAGAGTCCGGTTAGTGAAAACATAGAATTAGATACAGTGATAGCTGTAGTTAGCATCAGTGATAAAGACTCTGGTGATAATGGAGAGGTTGATCTTTATATTCCAAAGCACATGCCTTTTAAATTAAAGGAGTCCTCTGATAACTATTATGAGTTAGTGGTGTCAGAGCCATTAGACCGAGAGAAGGTCCCAGAATATGACATCACTTTCACTGTCAAAGACAGAGGCTCTCCTCCTTTATCTGACAATGAAACAATGACTTTGGAGCTGCTAGATGTTAATGACAATGTTCCACAGTTCCCCCAGTCATTTTTTACTATTCGTGTCATGGAGAATAATGCACCTGGGGCCTTGCTCAGCTCGCTCACTGCATTTGATCCTGACCTCCATGAAAATCAGTATCTAGTTTATTTTATCATAGAGAAGGAGATTGCCAACACCTCCATGTCCATGCTGTTCTCCATCAATCCAGAGAATGGGAATCTTTACGCTCTGAAAACTTTTGATTATGAAATTGAAAAAGAGTTTATTTTCCACATCGAGGCCAGAGACTCTGGTTCTCCTCCTCTCAGCAGTAACGTGACTGTTCACATCATTATTGTGGACCAAAATGACAACGCTCCAACTATAGTTTCTCCTTGGCGGGCTCATGGCTCAGTAGTAGAGGAGAAGATACCGAGATCTACTGATAAAGGCTCTCTGGTGGCTAAAGTGATCGCCTTAGACACAGACTCTGTGCACAACTCTCGGATTACCTACCAGTTTCTCCAGGTGACTGATGCTTCCTTGTTTAGTCTGGATCAATACAACGGAGAGATCCGGACCATGAGAATGTTCAGTTACAAAGACTCCCGCCATCACAGACTGATTGTTGTTGCCAAGGACAACGGGGAGCCTGCTCTCTCTGCTACAGTCACCATCAAGCTGCTGACAGTGGAGACTGATGTTAAGGCCTACTCCGACATGACTGAGATGCCTCTGGAATATGACATCTTTTCAGACATAAACCTGTATCTGGTCATCGGTCTGGGCTCAGTTTCATTTCTTCTGCTCATCACCATATTGGTCACCATTGTGCTGAAGTGCCAGAAACCCAAGCCCAACAAAGCTGCTCCTCCCAGCAGGAACAGTGTGATCAGTGAGAGGAACTCCACCATTGCAGACTCCACTCTGGTATCCAATGATGCCTACTGGTACAGTCTGTTTCTGGCAGAGACAAGGAAAGGAAAGCTGGTGGTTAGACAGCCTGTGCCAAAGGGCTCCAGGTACATCGTGTCCAGCCTACCGAGAGGGACAGGACTGTCAGAGACTAGTGGCTCAGCAGCTTCTACTCTGCAGGTAGGAAAGAATATATGCTTACATATGTATAGTACATATATTTACATATCTATATTTTTTATTTATTTAGTCACACATGCTCTCTATGTAAACCTATTAGACAAACAGTTTAAATTTATCTTCATCGGTTTAAGCTTTTATTCACATCTAGAGTTATACACTTTTTATATAAAAAATATTAATGCTTTTATGCAGAAATAAAATAATATTATAAGAAGTAGGTATGGAGTGACGGCAGAGTGGGTGAGCGACTGGGAGCATAGGGGAAGAGCCCGATCTTGTGGAGAAAAAATGTAAAGGCAGTGGAGGATTCATACAGTGCTACTTTACAGACTGTGTGCTGTTACGACGGAGGCTTCACATAAATGATAACTCAAATCCTTTATTTGAGCAACAGCTGTATTGTAAAGCATGTAATGGGCATTCAAAGGGGTTTAGATGTAGCTATAGCTACTTGGAAGATGTTTTTATTAGGAAAGTTATTAGGAAAGCAGTAGAAGTCTGTGGAGGAAAAAGTATGGAGGTAACAATCCGATACGGGAAAGATAAGAGGAGGAAAGAGCGCTAGAGTTTTACTACTTGCATAAGGAAACTGATGACCTGACAGCGAGACAGCGTCTGGAGGAATTTTATAAGCGCGGCGCACGGGTTAAAGGGAGAGGTAAATATGCTCGGAAGAGGTGGATAGAAGGAGGAGATAAAAAAACACACAAAAAAAAAAAAAAAACTGAGAAGAACATCAGGAGGATCTTTGTTAGGTATAAAGAAAACCGAATCCAGGCATGACGTGTATCTAACACGAATCAATGAACTTAGTCAACATTTTAATTATTAGGGAATATTTGATTTTTTTCTGTAATCAAATAGCCTGTTGATGTTTCTGTTGTTTTTTTGTTTATTTGTTTTGTCACAATAATGAGAATATGTTGATCTATTTGTCTAGTTACGTTTTTGTATAACAAATCGCTTTGCTAATCCATCGTTACCACCGCTTTTAAAACTAATGAGTTTATGTTACACAATTAATAATTCTAAATGAACTTCAAAAATGTAGCTAATGTATAAACAACATCCAAATAATTTTTCAAAAAATAAATACTGCATTATGAGAGATAATGTTATCGGTTTTGATATTTGGTTACTACGTTTTTACCTGCTGATGTAGACCTGTTTATTCTTTTTTTATAACCATACAGGCAACATTTAAGCAACATTTAGTAATATAATAGCAATTTGTTGCTTATGTAAGAAAAATACAAGACACATTCGTTTTAACATAATCAACTTTTAAATTAAAATTTCGTCATTTTGCAAGTAGATGCCACAGAGAACATTAAAAAGCTATATTTATAGTCTAGGAGAGACATTCTATACACAATTTAAGAACAACGTTTTGTTATATTTTGTTGACTCCAATTTTGCAACGTTTTTACCTATATTGATGGTGCCGCTATTTTGTGCTTAGAAGCAAACCTCTAAACGTCAGTGGGGGTGGTCCTTCGTTATCTGACATCACTGTTCAGAAGCTACAGAGCTGCGTGGTGCTGAAACGCGATTAAAAAAACTATAACGGAGAAATTTAACATTTTTCATGAATGAATATTATCTGGAAAAGATCCCAATTCAGTGCTCTGAGGGAAACCTTCATAAACACCGGAAACGCGTGTTTTTGTTTTATAATCTGAGGGGTCTTCAACACACAGGAGCGATGGCTGCCGTTATAACAAAGAGATCGCTGCAGAGGTACGTGGTTCTCTTTCTTCTTCTTGCCTCGGCTTGCAAAGTATCAGCTTCAGCGACTCATTATTCAATATCCGAAGAGATGAAAGAAGGATCCGTTGTGGCTAATCTCGCTGCCGATCTTGGCCTGGACATTGCGACGCTTACAAAGAGAAAGATGCGAGTTGATATAATCGCTAACAAGAAATATTTGGATGTAAACAAGGAGACTGGCGAGATGTATGTTCTGGAAAAGATCGACAGAGAGCAAATTTGCCCAACAAAGTCATCAGCCTCTTGTTACCTCAGATTGGAAGTTACATTGGACAATCCAGTGCGGATTTTTAACATCGAAGTGGAAATTTTGGACATGAATGACAACGCCCCACAATTTCGAAGGGAGGTGATACATTTAGATATATCAGAAGCGACACCAAAGGGGGAGAGATTTTCTCTCAGTAATGCGGTTGATCGTGATGTTGGTACTAATGCATTAAAAACATATCATCTGAGTGAAAGCGAATATTTCAGCATCCAGGTCCAGACAGGGAGAGATGGGTCTAAAGTTGCAGATTTGATATTGAAAAAAACCTTAGATCGTGAGAAGCAGTCATTTCACAACTTAACCCTTACAGCTGTGGATGGAGGAACACCTGCTCGGTCTGGTACTGCCAGTGTTATTGTTCGGGTTTTAGACACTAATGACAATGCTCCCACATTTGACAGGACTAGTCTGACAGTTAATATCCAGGAAAATTCTCCAATTGGAAGCCCTGTTATTCGTCTTAATGCAACAGATCTAGATGAAGGATCAAATTCTTATATAACATACTCATACAGTTTATATACATCAGAAAAAGCACAAGAAACATTCAGTCTGAACCCAACCACTGGAGAAATAACAGTAAAAGGAATTTTGAATTACGAGGATTTTAGGATTTATGACATGGAAGTTATAGCAACAGATAATGGAGCTAACAGTTTGTCAGGACAATGCACCATAAAGATTATAGTTGAAGACATGAATGACAACCACCCTGAAATATCTATTAAATCATTTCAGAGTCCAGTCAGTGAAAACATAGAATTAGATACAGTGATAGCTGTAGTTAGTGTCAGTGATAAAGACTCTGGTGATAATGGAGTGGTTGATCTTTATATTCCAAAGAACATGCCTTTTAAATTAAAGGAGTCCTCTGATAACTATTATGAGTTAGTTTTGTCAGAGCCATTAGACCGAGAGAAGGTCCCAGAATATGACATCACTTTTACTGTCAAAGACAGAGGCTCTCCTCCTTTAGTTGACAATGAAACTATGACTTTGGAGCTGCTGGATGTTAATGACAATGTTCCACAGTTTCCCCAGTCATTTTATACTATACGTGTCATGGAGAATAATGCACCTGGGGCCTTGCTCAGCTCGCTCACTGCATTTGATCCTGACCTCCATGAAAACCAGTATCTAGTTTATTTTATCATAGAGAAGGAGGTCGCCAACACCTCCATGTCCATGCTGTTCTCAATCAATCCAGAGAATGGGAATCTTTACGCTCTGAAAACTTTTGATTATGAGATTGAAAAAGAGTTTCTTTTCCACATCGAGGCCAGAGACTCTGGTTCTCCTCCTCTCAGCAGTAACGTGACTGTTCACATCATTATTGTGGACCAAAATGACAACGCTCCAACTATAGTTTCTCCTTGGCGGGCTCATGGCTCAGTAGTAGAGGAGAAGATACCAAGATCCACTGATAAAGGCTCTCTGGTAGCTAAAGTGATCGCCTTAGACACAGACTCTGTGCACAACTCTCGGATTACCTACCAGTTTCTCCAGGTGACTGATGCTTCCTTGTTCAGTCTGGATCAATACAATGGAGAGATCCGGACCATGAGGATGTTCAGTTACAAAGACTCCCGCCATCACAGACTGGTTGTTGTTGCCAAGGACAACGGGGAGCCTGCTCTCTCTGCTACAGTCACCATCAAGCTGCTGACAGTGGAGACTGATGTTAAGGCCTACTCTGACATGACTGAGATGCCTCTGGAATATGACATCTTTTCAGATATAAACCTGTATCTGGTCATCGGTCTGGGCTCAGTTTCATTTCTTCTGCTCATCACCATACTGGTCACCATTGTGCTGAAGTGTCAGAAACCCAAGCCCAGCAAAGCTGCTCCTCCTAGCAGGAACAGTGTGATCAGTGAGAGGAACTCCACCATTGCAGACTCCACTCTGGTATCCAATGATGCCTACTGGTACAGTCTGTTTCTGGCAGAGACAAGGAAAGGAAAGCTGGTGGTTAGACAGCCTGTGCCAAAGGGCTCCAGGTACATCGTGTCCAGCCTACCGAGAGGGACAGGACTGTCAGAGACTAGTGGCTCTGCAGCTTCTACTCTGCAGGTAGGAAACAATATATGCTTACATATGTATAGTACATATATTTACATATCTATGTTTTTTATTTATTTAGTCACACATGCTCTCTATGTAAACCTATTAGACAAGTGGTTTACATTTATTTTTATCGGTTCAAGCTTTTATTTACATCTAGAGTTATACACTTTTTATATAAAAAAATATATATTTATGCTTTCATGCAGAAATAAAATAATATTATAAGAAGTAGGTATGGAGTGACGTCAGAGTGGGTGAGCGACTGGGAGCATAGGGAAAGAGCCCGATCTTGTGGAGAAAAAATGTAAAGGCAGTGGAGGATTCATACAGTGCTACTTTACAGACTGTGTGCTGTTACGACGGAAGCTTCACATAAATGATAACTCAAATCCTTTATTTCCACAACAGCTGTATTGTAAAGCATGTAATGGGCATTCACGGGGGTTTAGATGTAGCTATAGCTACTTGGAAGATGTTTTTATTAGGAAAGTTATTAGGAAAGCAGTAGAAGTCTGTTTAGGAAAAAGAGTGGAGGTAACAATCCGATACGGGAAAGATAAGAGGAGGAAAGAGCGCTAGAGTTTTACTGTACTTGCATAAGGAAACTGATGACCTGAAAGCCAGACAGCGTCTGGAGGAATCTTATAAGCGCGGCGCACGGGTTAAAGGGAGAGGCAAATAGGCTCGGAAGAGGTGGATAAAAGGGGGAGATAAAAAAAAGAAAAAAAAAAAAGATTATCAGGAGGATCATTGTTAGGTAGCCTATATATATATAAATATATATATATATAAAACTGAATCCAGGCATGACGTAGGCCTATATCTAACACGAATCAATAAACTCAGTCAACATTTTAATTATTAGGGAATACTTTATTTATTTATTTTTTATTTCTGTATTCAAATACCCTGTTGATGTTTCTTTTCTCTTTTGTTTGTTTGTTTTGTCACAATCTATTTGTCTAGTTACGTTTTTGTATCAGAAATCGCTTTGCTAATCCATCCTTACCACCGCTTTTAAAACTGATGAGTTTATGCTAGACATTTAATCATTTAAAATGAACTTCAAAAATGTAGCTAATGTATAAACAAAATCCGAATATTTTTTCATAAAATAAATAGTGCATTATGAGAGTAATGTTATCGGTTTTGATATTTGGTTACTAGGTTTATATTTTTACCTGCAGATGTACACCTGTTTATTCTTTTTTATTACCATACAGGCAACATTTAGTAATATAATAGCAATTTGTCGCTTATCTAAGAAAAATACAAGACACATTCGTTTTAACACAATCAACCTTTAAATTAAAATTTCGTAATTTTGCAAGTAGATGCAACAAAGAACATTAAAAAAACTACGTTTATAGTCTAGGAGAGACATTTTATACACAATTTAAGAACAACGTTTTGTCATATTTTGTTGAGCCCAATTGTGCAACAACGTTTTTACCTATATTGATGGTGCCGCTATTTTGTGCTTAGAAGCAAACCTCTAAACGTCAGTGGGGGTGGTCCTTCGTTATCTGACATCACTGTTCAGAAGCTACAGAGCTGCGTGGTGCTGAAACGCGATTCAAAAAATATAACGGAGAAATTTAACATTTTTCATGAATGAATATTATCTGGAAAAGATCCCAATTCAGTTCTCTGACGGAAACCTTCATAAACACCGGAGACGCGTGTTTTTGTTTTATAATCTGAGGGGTCTTCAACACACAGGAGCGATGGCTGCCGTTATAACAAAGAGATCGCTGCAGAGGTACGTGGTTCTCTTTCTTCTTCTTGCCTCGGCTTCCAAAGTATCAGCTTCAGCGACTCATTATTCAATATCCGAAGAGATGAAAGAAGGATCCGTTGTGGCTAATCTCGCTGCCGATCTTGGCCTGGACATTGCGACGCTTACAAAGAGAAAGATGCGAGTTGATATAATCGCTAACAAGAAATATTTGGATGTAAACAAGGAGACTGGCGAGATGTATGTTCTGGAAAAGATCGACAGAGAGCAAATTTGTACAACAAAGTCATCTTGTTACCTTAGATTGGAAGTTACATTGGACAATCCAGTGCGGATTTTTAACATCGAAGTGGAAATTTTGGACATGAATGACAACGCCCCACAATTTCGAAGGGAGGTGATACATTTAGATATATCAGAAGCGACACCAAAGGGGGAGAGATTTTCTCTCAGTAATGCGGTTGATCGTGATGTTGGTACTAATGCATTAAAAACATATCATCTGAGTGAAAGCGAATATTTCAGCATCCAGGTCCAGACAGGGAGAGATGGGTCTAAAGTTGCAGATTTGATATTGAAAAAAACCTTAGATCGTGAGAAGCAGTCATTTCACAACTTAATCCTTACAGCTGTGGATGGAGGAACACCTGCTCGGTCTGGAACTGCCAGTGTTATTGTTCGGGTTTTAGACACTAATGACAATGCTCCAACATTTGACAGGACTAGTTTGACAGTTAACATCCAGGAAAATTCCCCAATTGGAAGCCCTGTTATTCGTCTTAATGCAACAGATCTAGATGAAGGATCAAATTCTTATATAACATACTCATACAGTTTATATACATCAGAAAAAGCACAAGAAACATTCAGTCTGAACCCAACCACTGGAGAAATAACAGTAAAAGGAATTTTGAATTACGAGGATTTTAAGATTTACGACATGGAAGTTATAGCAACAGATAATGGAGCTAACAGTTTGTCTGGACAATGCACCATAAAGATTATAGTTGAAGACATGAATGACAACCACCCTGAAATATCTATTAAATCATTTCAAAGTCCAGTCAGTGAAAACATAGAATTAGACACAGTGATAGCTGTAGTTAGTGTTAGTGATAAAGACTCTGGTGATAATGGAGTGGTTGATCTTTATATTCCAAAGAACATGCCTTTTAAATTAAAGGAGTCCTCTGATAACTATTATGAGTTAGTGGTGTCAGAGTCATTGGACCGAGAGAAGGTCCCAGAATATGACATCACTTTCACTGTCAAAGACAGAGGCTCTCCTCCTTTAGTTGACAATGAAACTATGACTTTGGAGCTGCTGGATGTTAATGACAATGTTCCACAGTTTCCCCAGTCATTTTATACTATACGTGTCATGGAGAATAATGCACCTGGGGCTTTGCTAAGCTCACTCACTGCATTTGATCCTGACCTCCATGAAAACCAGTATCTAGTTTATTTTATAATTGAAAAGGAGATCGCCAACACCTCCATGTCCATGCTGTTCTCCATCAATCCAGAGAATGGGAATCTTTACGCTCTGAAAACTTTTGATTATGAAATTGAAAAAGAGTTTCTTTTCCACATCGAGGCCAGAGACTCTGGTTCTCCTCCTCTCAGCAGTAACGTGACTGTTCACATCATTATTGTGGACCAAAATGACAACGCTCCAACTATAGTTTCTCCTTGGCGGGCTCATGGCTCAGTAGTAGAGGAGAAGATCCCCAGATCCACTGATAAAGGCTCTCTGGTGGCTAAAGTGATCGCCTTAGACACAGACTCTGTGCACAACTCTCGGATTACCTACCAGTTTCTCCAGGTGACTGATGCTTCCTTGTTCAGTCTGGAACAATACAATGGAGAGATCCGGACCATGAGGATGTTCAGTTACAAAGACTCCCGCCATCACAGACTGGTTGTTGTTGCCAAGGACAACGGGGAGCCTGCTCTCTCTGCTACAGTCACCATCAAGCTGCTGACAGTGGAGACTGATGTTAAGGCCTACTCTGACATGACTGAGATGCCTCTGGAATATGACATCTTTTCAGATATAAACCTGTATCTGGTCATCGGTCTGGGCTCAGGTTTCATTTCTCCTGCTCATCACCATACTGGTCACCATCGTGCTGAAGTGTCAGAAACCCAAGCCCAGCAAAGCTGCTCCTCCCAGCAGGAACAGTGTGATCAGTGAGAGGAACTCCACCATTGCAGACTCCACTCTGGTATCCAATGATGCCTACTGGTACAGTCTGTTTCTGGCAGAGACAAGGAAAGGAAAGCTGGTGGTTAGACAGCCTGTGCCAAAGGGTTCCAGGTACATCGTGTCCAGCCTACCGAGAGGGACAGGACTGTCAGAGACTAGTGGTTCAGCAGCTTCTACTCTGCAGGTGGGAATCTTTTGAACTCAAAATTTAATTATTGTAATAATCTGTTGCATTGCATTTTATACTGTCCTTCTTCAGGATACAACAAAAAACGTATATATTATCACGTCAGAGCCACTTGAAAAGAGCCTTCATATGAAAACAAATTAATTCTATTTGTGATGTACTAAATAATATGATTTTTTAAATCTCATGTTCTTTATAATGATGCATAGAATTTTTAAACATACAAATACTCTAATCTCTCTGTCTCTGTATATATATATATATATATATATATATATATATATATATATATATACCGTATATATATATATATATATATAAGTTAAGAATAAGATAAATGCTTCCATCCTACTACAAATTAGGCTACTGCAAAAAAGCTCAAACATGGATACGTTTAAGCCTTTAACTAAGAATAAATTAAATCAATTCCAAACTTTTATTATTACTTCGGAAAAAGATTGTTAATATTTTTACATGAAATTCTTTCTATCCGTGCAGGATTAACACAATAGGATAACCATTTATCCAGGATTTAGCAGGCGACTTGACACATGACTGGAAATACAACTTTTGATGCTGATCTGGAACATAGGTGCGAATTAAAGGGACAAGGACATCAATAGATGGATGTGATATATTCAATCCAAACGCAGCATTACAATTTCACAAATCTGCATATGAAGCTGAGGGACAATCTTAAAAAGAAAAGTAAATTCTCACATAATTTTTTTTTAGAAATAAAAATTCCCATGTTTAATAAATGTTTTTTTTTTAAATAACGAGAATTATTAATTTTCTGCATTTTTTTTACTTTTGTTTAAGACATACGATAATAAAATGGTGGCGCTGTGTTCTATCTTAAAATTCAGCTTAATGACGTGATTTAGGAGGTACTTTTATCGGAGCGTGTTCCTGCAAAGACCGGACAGCTCAGAGGGGCTGAACCGTCATCCAGGGAGGACGATGAAATCTTTCAACATTTTGGCTGCATATAAAATATCGTAAAAAGCTACGGGTTTATGACGGCGGAGCAAATTTAGCATTGCTGACAACGTCTTTTTTTTCACCGTTTCGTTTGTTATCAATATGGATCTTGAAATGAGTCAGGCCTTAACAAAGAGTTCCACGCGGAGGTACGTGCTGCTCCTTATTCTTTCTCTGTCGGTCCGCAAAATATCAGCCTCAGTCAACCATTACTCCATACCTGAAGAGATGAAACCGGGATCAGTGGTCGCTAACCTCGCTAATGATCTTGGTCTTGACGTTTCAACACTAACAAAGAGAAAGATGCGGCTTGACATAATAGCGAACAAGGAATATTTAGGAGTGAACAAAGAGACCGGTGAACTGTATATTGTTGAGAGGATCGACAGAGAGCACATCTGCAACACCAAATCGTCTTCGTCCTGTTACCTAAAACTCGAAGTAACGCTGGAAAACCCACTACGGATATTTAACATTGAAGTAGAAGTGTTAGACATGAATGACAACGCCCCGCAATTTCGAAGAGACGCCATTCATTTGGATATATCTGAAGCGACAGCAAAGGGAGAAAGGTTTTCTCTCAGCAATGCAGTTGACCCTGATGTTGGAGCAAATTCGGTGAAAACATATTTTTTAAGTGAAAGTGAATATTTTAACATTGAAATTCAGACGGGAAGAGATGGATCAAAATTTGCTGACTTGATTCTAAAAAAGACATTAGACCGGGAAAATCAGGGACTCCATAATTTGGTACTCACAGCTGTGGATGGAGGGACACCGGCTCGATCTGGTACAGTCAATATTGTCGTTCATGTCTTAGACACAAATGACAATGCCCCTACATTTGAGGAATCTGCTTACAACGTCAAAATAATGGAAAATTCCCCCATTGGAAGCCTTGTTATTCATTTAAATGCTACGGATAAGGATAAAGGCTCAAATTCAGATATAACATACTTATACAGTCTTTACACATCAGAGAAGACACAGGAAACATTTGATTTAAATCCAAAAACAGGTGAAATTACTGTGAAAGGAATGTTGAACTATGAGGATTTTAGGATTTATGACATGGAAGTCATTGCAACAGATAAAGGAGCCAACAGTTTGTCAGGACAATGCACCATAAAGATTATAGTTGAAGACATGAATGACAACCACCCTGAAATATCTATTAAATCATTTCAAAGTCCAGTTAGTGAAAACATAGAATTAGATACAGTGATAGCTGTAGTTAGTGTTAGTGATAAAGACTCTGGTGATAATGGAGTGGTTGATCTTTATATTCCAAAGCACATGCCTTTTAAATTAAAGGAGTCCTCTGATAACTATTATGAGTTAGTGGTGTCAGAGCCATTAGACCGAGAGAAGGTCCCAGAATATGACATCACTTTCACTGTCAAAGACAGAGGCTCTCCTCCTTTAGTTGACAATGAAACAATGACTTTGGAGCTGCTGGATGTTAATGACAATGTTCCACAGTTCCCCCAGTCATTTTATACTATACGTGTCATGGAGAATAATGCACCTGGGGCCTTGCTCAGCTCACTCACTGCATTTGATCCTGACCTCCATGAAAACCAGTATCTAGTTTATTTTATCATAGAGAAGGAGATTGCCAACACCTCCATGTCCATGCTGTTCTCCATCAATCCAGAGAATGGGAATCTTTACGCTCTGAAAACTTTTGATTATGAAATTGAAAAAGAGTTTCTTTTCCACATCGAGGCAAGAGACTCTGGTTCTCCTCCTCTCAGCAGTAACGTGACTGTTCACATCATTATTGTGGACCAAAATGACAACGCTCCAACTATAGTTTCTCCTTGGCGGGCTCATGGCTCAGTAGTAGAGGAGAAGATCCCCAGATCCACTGATAAAGGCTCTCTGGTGGCTAAAGTCATCGCCTTAGACACAGACTCTGTGCACAACTCTCGGATTACCTACCAGTTTCTCCAGGTGACTGATGCTTCCTTGTTCAGTCTGGATCAATACAATGGAGAGATCCGGACCATGAGGATGTTCAGTTACAAAGACTCCCGCCATCACAGACTGGTTGTTGTTGCCAAGGACAACGGGGAGCCTGCTCTCTCTGCTACAGTCACCATCAAGCTGCTGACAGTGGAGACTGATGTTAAGGCCTACTCTGACATGACTGAGATGCCTCTGGAATATGACATCTTTTCAGACATAAACCTGTATCTGGTCATCGGTCTGGGCTCAGTTTCATTTCTCCTGCTTATCACCATACTGGTCACCATTGTGCTGAAGTGTCAGAAACCCAAGCCCAGCAAAGCTGCTCCTCCCAGCAGGAACAGTGTGATCAGTGAGAGGAACTCCACCATTGCAGACTCCACTCTGGTATCCAATGATGCCTACTGGTACAGTCTGTTTCTGGCAGAGACCAGGAAAGGAAAGCTGGTGGTTAGACAGCCTGTGCCAAAGGGCTCCAGGTACATCGTATCCAGCCTTCCGAGAGGAACAGGACTGTCAGAGACTAGTGGCTCTGCAGCTTCTACTCTCCAGGTATGACAAAAATAAATGATAATATAAAATATAAATTAATTGTTTCCATGAATAATAGTTGTAATTTAACAGACAATGTATCTTCTTGCCAGGAAGCAAAAGAAAATAAAAGGCACCCAACTAAAGATGCTTTGAAAGAAAGCTCTATTATGAATTCGAAATGACAATCACAAATTTTATCCAGTTTTGCTGTTTTTGTGATTATTTTTATTTTGTAAAACACAGACATTCGCTAGCGTGATTAGGTCCTAAGATGGAACATTTTACAAAAAAAGATGTTTCGCTGAGGTTCTCTCTAAAAGTTCACATAATATAAATATCACATATGTAAATATATATACCTACCATTTCAGGTGATGATGCTCCTTGATCAGTATGATCAATACAATGGAGAGATTCGGTACCATGAGATGTTCAGTTACAAAGATCCCGCCATACAACTGGTTGTTTTGCCAAGGAAACGGACCTGCTCTCTCTGCATACAGTCCATCAGCTGCTGACGGTCGGAGACCTGATGTTAAGGCCTACTTGACATGACTGAGATGCTCTGAGAATATGAACATCTTTTCAGAACATAACCTGTATACTGGTAATCGGTTGCTCGGTTTCATTTTCATGCTCATCACTACTGGTCACCTTGTGCTGAAGTGTCGAAACAAAGCTAGCAAAGCTGTCCTCGCAGGAAGTGTGCATGAGAGAATCACCATTGTAGACTCCATCTGGTATCAATGGCTATGGTACAGTCTGTTTCTGGCAGAGAGCTAGCAAAGGAAAGTGGGGTTAGACAGCTGTGCAAGTCCATGTACATCGTTTACAGTTTTATCGAGAGGCTGCTGTCAGAACTATGGCTTGCAGCTTCAGCAGTATGACAAAATTAAATGATGATTTAATTATAATTTATTGTTTCCATGAATAATAGTTGTAATTTGAACGACAATGTTCTTCTTGCCAGGTAAGAAAAACGATAAAAGGACCAACTAAAGATGCTTGAAGAAAGCTATTATGAATTCGAAATGACATCAAAATTTTATCCAGTTTTGAAATGTTTTTTGATTATTTTTTTGTAAAACACAGACATCGCTAGCGTGATTAGGTCCTAGATGATATATATTTAAATATAATAAATGTTATCGTATTCAATCCATATATAATATAATATATATATATATATATATATATATATTATATATATATATATATATATATATAATGTGGGTATGAATGATTTACATAGGTATGATAGGTTATATATAGAATCTACAAATTTGTAGAAACAAACATTTTAAAAAAATTATAAAATGTGTCTATGGCATTTTTCGGATAACTCATGTCATTTATTAACTTGGTACAAATACATCTTAATAATATATTTGACCTATCAAATTTTATCAGATAAATTATATATTAAATCTTTCAAAATGTAGATAAGAAAGAATAAAAAAGCAACAAAAATCAAAAAAAAAAAAAAAATCTAATAAAATAAGCAATTGACCAAAGGGTGAAATAAAGGTGACATTCTTAAAAAGTAACGAGTGTTTCTTTGGAAAAGTAAAAGAATAACAAGCCAGGCTATTGAAATAAAAACTTACAACAATTGTTCTAAATACCGAAATGATAATTAATGTAAAGATAGTATTTCTAAAACCAGGTTTAAACGTGTTTAACAAAATTCATGAATCCCTTATTGAATTTTTTTTCTTTCTATCTCAACTACAGGAAATCATATTGCAGAATAAACCGGTAATATCGCTGTTCTCCACGAACATAGCTCCCTAGTGAGGTCACCATTTTTATCTTAGCTTATTGGAAGGTGGAACATTAGTTCCTGTCAGATTTCTACAATGGAAAGGAGTCGTTGTTCTGCTGTCCGGTTGTGAAGCGAGATTGCGCTCATTTACGTCGCCTAACATCTCATTTAAAGGTTTTGGAAAAGGATTAATTCAATGGCTCATCAACGTGTTAAATTTGCCATGAAGAGGTATGTTGCAGTTGGACTATTCCTCTGTCTTTCTTCTATTATTGACATCGCAACCACTGTAACTCATTATTCCGTACCGGAGGAAATGGATGAAGGATCCGTTGTTGCAAATTTAGCGACTGATTTAGGATTAGATGTACGGAGTCTGAGTAAAAGAAAAATGCGCGTGGATGTTGTGGGCAACAAGAAGTACCTCGAGATTAACAGAGATACTGGGGAGCTTTTTATCTTGGAAAAAATAAACAGGGAATTTCTTTGTCCTCTCAAGACAGCCACCTCCTGCTTCATTAGATTAGACGCTACAATTGAGAACCCGGTGCGCATGTTTAACATTGAGGTAGAAATATTGGACATAAATGATAACGCTCCTCATTTTAGACGAGGAACAATGCATTTGGACATATCAGAGTCCAGCCCTGTGGGAGAGAGATTTTCCCTGAATAACGCTGCAGACCCGGATGTCGGGACGAATTCTGTGCAGAATTACCACCTGAGCGCAAGTGATCATTTTGCTATTGAAATTCAGACCGGCAGGGACGGGACGAAATTTGCAGACTTGGTTCTGAAAAAAGCTCTGGACAGAGAACAGCAGGCTGTTCATAATCTGATTCTGACTGCTGTGGACGGTGGAGTTCCCACCCGCACGGGTACAGCCAGCATCATTGTTCGCGTGCTAGATGTGAACGACAACGCCCCTTCATTTGACAAAGACAAGTACGTTGTAGATGTGATGGAGAATTCTCCCATTGGCAGCTTGGTAATCAAGCTGAATGCTACAGATTTAGATGAAGGCTCCAATTCTGATATTGTTTATTCATACAGCTTATATACATCAGAAAGAACACAGATGATGTTTAACCTGAATCCAGAAAATGGTGAAATCAGAGTAAAGGAAATGATAAATTATGAAGATGATCAACTTTATGAGATGGAGGTCATAGCCAGTGACAAGGGGCCTAACTCCTTATCTGGACAGAGCAGAGTGACCATTCAGGTGACTGATATGAATGACAACCACCCTGAAATTTCTATTAAATCATTTCAGAGTCCAATTAAAGAAAATGTGGACACAGACACAGTGATAGCTGTTGTTAGTGTCAGTGATAAAGACTCTGGTGATAATGGAGTGGTTGATCTTCATATTCCAGAGAATATGCCTTTCAAACTGAGGAAGTCCTCTGATAACTACAGTATTATGAGTTAGTTTTGTCAGAGCCATTAGACCGAGAGAAGGTCCCAGAATATGACATCACTTTCACTGTCAAAGACAGAGGCTCTCCTCCTTTATTTGACAATGAAACTATGACTTTGGAGCTGCTGGATGTTAATGACAATGTTCCACAGTTTCCCCAGTCATTTTATACTATACGTGTCATGGAGAATAATGCACCTGGGGCCTTGCTCAGCTCGCTCACTGCATTTGATCCTGACCTCCATGAAAACCAGTATCTAGTTTATTTTATCATAGAGAAGGAGATCGCCAACACCTCTATGTCCATGCTGTTCTCCATCAATCCAGAGAATGGGAATCTTTATGCTCTGAAAACTTTTGATTATGAAATTGAAAAAGAGTTTCTTTTCCACATCGAGGCCAGAGACTCTGGTTCTCCTCCTCTCAGCAGTAACGTGACTGTTCACATCATTATTGTGGACCAAAATGACAACGCTCCAACTATAGTTTCTCCTTGGCGGGCTCATGGCTCAGTAGTAGAGGAGAAGATCCCCAGATCCACTGATAAAGGCTCTCTGGTGGCTAAAGTGATCGCCTTAGACACAGACTCTGTGCACAACTCTCGGATTACCTACCAGTTTCTCCAGGTGACTGATGCTTCCTTGTTCAGTCTGGATCAATACAACGGAGAGATCCGGACCATGAGGATGTTCAGTTACAAAGACTCCCGCCATCACAGACTGGTTGTTATTGCCAAGGACAACGGGGAGCCTGCTCTCTCTGCTACAGTCACCATCAAGCTGCTGACAGTGGAGACTGATGTTAAGGCCTACTCTGACATGACTGAGATGCCTCTGGAATATGACATCTTTTCAGATATAAACCTGTATCTGGTCATCGGTCTGGGCTCGGTTTCATTTCTCCTGCTCATCACCATACTGGTCACCATCGTGCTGAAGTGTCAGAAACCCAAGCCCAGCAAAGCTGCTCCTCCCAGCAGGAACAGTGTGATCAGTGAGAGGAACTCCACCATTGCAGACTCCACTCTGGTATCCAATGATGCCTACTGGTACAGTCTGTTTCTGGCAGAGACCAGGAAAGGAAAGCTGGTGGTTAGACAGCCTGTGCCAAAGGGTTCCAGGTACATCGTGTCCAGCCTACCGAGAGGGACAGGACTGTCAGAGACTAGTGGCTCAGCAGCTTCTACTCTGCAGGTATGACAATATCTAGAAATAGATTAAAATACTGTCCATTTTAGTAAAGCTTACATTTTCATACTCTTTGATAGATGATGCATACAGCCAATTATAACCTAATGGAAGACCCTTGTATTTTAAATAATTAAATTGCATATGAGGAAAAAAGTTCCTTGTTACAGTTTTTTATACAGTAATATATTAAATGCGAAGAGTAATCGTTTTAAGGATTTTGTAGATCAATTAGGATGGTATTATGAAGCTCTCACATCAATGGTCTGCTCTCCAATTTTTCTTAGAATTTCAAAAATAAAAGTAGGAAATTTTATGATGACACTGTCAAACAACATCAAACTCTTAAAGGGATAGTTCGGTATTTTTGACATGAATCTGTATGGCATCCTCATCACCAGCGGCATGCAATCACACTGACTTACCCCTGGCAGCGTCCTGTGAGCAGAGTTATCGTCCACTTTTGGTCAAGCCGAAAGTAGTCCTGCAGGTTTTAAGGTACAGCGAAATAAAACTTTTCTCTTCCCAAAACATTATGTGTTCAAAAGAGCGATATTTTCGCATCCCAAAAACATTGTAGTTGAAAAAGTCACACGTCGTTATCAATTGGTCCTATTTTCTCTCTGTTCGTATCAGTGCGCGCCGTCATTCAGACAGCGAGCCCAACAACAGCCATGTCTCCCTCCGCCGCGGAAGGAGACATGGCTGTTGTTGGGCTCGCTGTCTGAATGACGGCGCGCACTGATACGAACAGAGAGAAAATAGGACCAATTGATAACGACGTGTGACTTTTTCAACTACAATGTTTTTGGGATGCAAAAATATCGCTCTTTTGAACACATAATGTTTTGGGAAGAGAAAAGTTTTATTTCGCTGTACCTAAAAACCTGCAGGACTACTTTCGGCTTGACCAAAAGTGGACGATAACTCTGCTCACAGGACGCTGCCAGGGGTAAGTCAGTGTGATTGCATGCCGCTGGTGATGAGGATGCCATACAGATTCATGTCAAAAATACCGAACTATCCCTTTAAGCAAAACAGAAGAAAATAACAAAAAATCAGATGCTTAAAATAAAAATACACGGATTAGACATAAAGCAATGTTAACCGTTTAAAGTATGTATTTTCTATTTAGGTTTGGTTTTACATTTAAAATATGTTCTTAATTAATAAATATTACTTCAAATCAAATATAATTAAAACAGATAAATACTGAATTGTCCATTCAAGTAGACCATAGTTTTATCCCCAACTCTATATTCTGTTTAATTTTATGAACTTAATATCTTTTTAAAAATCCTCTTAATTTATCACTATCCCTGATATTCAAACAATACAACATTCACTAAAATGTACTGATCATGTTTTGTTTTTTCTTCTATAACCTAAATATTAAGACCCTGGTGTTTAAAAAAGCTTTTATTTATAAAAATACTTTTGATGCATGCAAAGCTGATGTTTTAACCAGGTCAAAATCAAACTGCATGTCTAAAATAAGTTAAACAGCAGACAGAACATTTTAGTGCATTTACCACAGATGAAAGTCAAGTTTCAGTTTTGTTGTTGGGTCTGTGTTTTCTTTGAAACTGATGCGAACTGTCAATATGTTTATTTACACATTGCATGCATGTGGTATTTAGCTTTCACGCTGACTCTAACTCTCTGCATTCTAACTGGGAGAGACTCAGTTTTTACATCTTTAGAGGTTTTGCACCTTTGATGAGCAAAGTGAGGTATTTCTTGTTGTACATCTGGCATTCCCATTATGAGGATTACAGTTGCCTGGTTGATCACAAGCAGTTTTGGTAGATCCCACTGTTCAAAATATAATTATCATCTAGAAGTGTGTTTAAGACAGCTGCACTCCTGGCTGATCCAATGAAAACACAGTATAAGAGTAGGTACTGGAAAAAAACAAGTGATTGAATATGGATTCATATAGTATATCATGCAGTAATGTAAAAGTAGCAGATTGTTTTTTAAAAACACAGTAAGATAAGCGTTACACTGGATTTAGCTAATATAGTCTAGGAGCCTGTCATGCAATGCACCAGGGTTTGATTCCCTGTTTGGAGTTCAGGACGTTTTTTTTTTCTACTGAATTTTCATATGAAAGGACAAAATGTTTTGTTTCTATTATATTTTATTTCTTGTTTATGTCATTATCTTTCACAATAAGCTTAGGTTTAGTTCAGTCTTCTATGTCTGATCTTGTCAGGAGTTTTTTGCTGTTCATGTTGTGCCACGGCCACCAAATTGTAGTCTCTTTTTATAACCTGCTGTAGAGAGAGAAACAATTAAGAGGAAGGTAGTTTTCTGGCTGTGATGTCGGATGTAGGAGTTTGCCCTGAAATCGAAGGGTTGATGGTTATATCCCCAGCTCCGGCTTTCTGTGTCGTTATGTCCTTGGGCAAGACACTTCACTGGCATTGTCTTCTCATGGTGGTCTGGGGCCATGGTGGCATCAGTGTATGGCAGCCTTGCTTCTATTAGTAAGTCCCAGGGCAGCTATGGCTACAATGTAGCTCACCACCATCAGTGTGTTTGTGAATGGGTGAATGACTGAATGTAGTGTAATGTGCTTTGGTCAACTCTTCTTGAAAAAGAGCTATACAAGTACAGGCCATTTACCATTTATGGCTACTTTATCATTTATAAGAAGCTAAAAAGCTGAAAAGGCATGGGCAGCCATGTTATAGATTTTAAAGGGTTACTCATAACTACTGGTGTAACTGTGACACAATTTAACATCCTCATTTGCACTTTAACTACAATTGAAAGCTACCTACTGTAATTTATGATGTTATTGATATATTTAGCTTTCTTGGTCAGCCTGAAATGCATATTTGTAAACACAAAATAGAATACAAATCCCCCTGCCCACACCGCCTGAGTCTCCACTACTTCATGAATATTCAGAACATATACTGACACACAAATTGATAACAGGAGGGTATCCAAGTTTAAATACTTACCCCCACAAAGCTATTTCTCAACCCTCAAACAGAACTGAGTTCATCCAACCAAATATTGCACGTTTAAATGTCATGTTCAAATGTCATGCAAAAATATGTGGAGTCATTGTCACAATAAGGACACACATAGTTGGAATGACAAAATAATGGAGAGAAAGTCTTTGAGCTTGTGAACATATTTGGACTGTCAGAAATAACAGAAATAGAAAAGTACTGGTTGGAAAAAAGGTGTGTGTGTCACAAATAATGTAGCTAGAAGTAAACAGTGTTTAAAGCAGTTTACTTTTGCTTTTTTACCTTTGAGATGCTAATATGTGATCATTTTCACTAGCTTTATTATTTTTATTACACTACCAGTGGTAGAAAGTAGCAACATACATTTACTTGAATACTGTATAACAAGGCAGTGAATATTATTTTATTTATTTTATTTATTTATTTTATTTATTTCGAACAGACAGTAAAAACAATCAAGAAAGAAAAAAAAAATTTGAATGAAACAAACTTAAGAATGAAAATATAAAACAAATTATTTTGCCCATGTGACATGTAAATTTTATATTTTCTGTTCGAAAAGGAGCAGGTAGAAGATACATCTTATAATGTCCTGCCCCTTTCCTACTTGTCAATTTATCCTCAATTAAATGTCAAAACATCAAAAAAACAAAAAAACACTTGTTTCCATTCCACATGATGTTTAGCCATGTACAATTATTTTAAGTTCTATTTATGTCATCAATTACATTATAGACTATTAAACAGTCATATAGTGTATTTTGAAATGAGCTCGGTTTTAATCAGTTAATTAAATTGGTTTGCATTTTGAATTTTTTTAAACTCGTCATTCAATCCATTCCAGACATTTACTCCACACACAGATAAACAAAAACTCTTTCTGGTTGTTTTAAAGTGTTGTTTTTTAAAGTATCCTTCACCTCTTAGATCATAACCCCCTTCTCTGTCACCAAACATTTCTTGTATATTGTGTGGAAGTTTTTGATTTTGAACCTTAAACATGAATTGAGAAGTTCTAAATATTACCAGGTCCCAGAATTTCAGTATATTTGATTTGATAAATAACTGGTTTGTGTGTTCCCAGTATCCCACTTTATGTAGTATTCGGATTGATTTCTTTTGTAAAACGTATAATGGCTGTATTATTAATTAATAACATCATTACAAAACAAGTCCAGGCAAAAGAAACCTTTTTCCTAAGAACACTTACATATATATTGGCTTAAGAGATTATATAAGCATAACATTGTAATTACAAAGCTTATGTAGCAGTAAGAGTCTCACCGAGGATTAACTGTACGTGGCTGTGTCTGGGGCAGTTTTGGTTAAAAAGTGTTTGTTCTCTATTAGTGAAGTTAAGCTTGGTTAGAAGAGTAGGCAGAAATTATTCTCAATTAAGGGTGTAGTGATACTTTAAAAGCAAAAGTACAGAGTGGTTATTCCTAAATGTGTTTAGTTTTCTTTCTTTTTTTTTCTCCAAAAAATTAATTAATCATAAATTAGTAAATAGGGCCAGGTAGATAAACATTAAGAGTGGCGTAGGAGGTAGAGATATGTCCCGTAATAGTTGTCAGTTCAACCTCCAGTTCTGTCTGTCTCAGTCATTGTGTCTTTGGGCAAGACACTCTACCTGCCCTGCCTGTTGCTGGTGGTTAGAGGGCCCAGTGGCATTGATTGTATGGCAGACCTGCCAGTTTGCCTGAGATTAGCTGTGGCCAAAATGCATTTTGGCCACAGCTAACAGCTGGGGGGAACCTATGACTTTTACTCCACTACCTTGCAAAATCAAATACTGTGCTTTCTATTCCACTGCATTTCTAGGAAGCTGCTAGTTACTCATTACTTTGAAGTGCAATTTGAACCTGCAAGACAGCAGCCTTTAGGACTGGATTTGAACACCATTTTTTTTTTTAGATTTGCATGATGTTCCACAAATGTGCGAGGCCCAGGGCAGATATTATTTGTAGTTTATACGTTTTAAGGCATGAGTTGTTGCCATGTGACCGAGTTGCTCAGTAGGATGAGGTCTAAAAGCAGAGTTGAGGTTTCTTTGTGGTAATAGATTCAGCCTTGCACCTATATTCCACAGTGAAAGTGTGAGGGGAATAGAGACACTTATGTTTTCTTTTGGTTTTGTTTTTAAATAGGAAATAGTAATCATAATGGCTGTCCTTATTTTTGTGGTATTTTATATGCGGAAGTTCTTTACAGGTGGTGTAGAATTTGTAGCAGATGATTCTACGCATCAATACATCAGGTGGTTCCTAAAGGTTACAAGGATCTTTTAAATTACTTTTAAAATTACAGAGAAATGTAGTCTACTGGTATTAGATAAGGTAATTTGTACTTTTAAATACTTTATTTATAAAAGTGACTACTTGAATACTTTAAATTGAGTAGATGTTTGACCGAATAAGTTTTACCTGTAGTTGAGGAAGATTTGTCTATAAGTATCTATACTTTCACTCAAGTACTACTGTTGAGTACTTTGTCCACCATTGCACTTTATTATATATTTATTACAATTGTGATTACTTCTTTGGAATCTTTTAAAATCAGGCTCTAGTCTGAACAAATTAAAGTTGAGGTGACAGAGAAAACATTTTTTTTTTGCATGTATTTACAGAAGTTGTCCTAAAATTCTGATCAAAATAATTGATTAATTTTAAGACAATGTGGGTAATAGTTTGATTTGTTTATTGGATTGGTTGCTTAAAAGTGGTCTTTTAAATAATCATTTATTTAATCATGATTCTTAGATTAGATATTATAATGTCATCTACATCTTAATGCCATACATTAGATTGCATTAAAAATGGCAGTTTTTTCATTGACTTAGATTTACATTCAGTGCTTCAGTGAGTTGTTCAAGTAATATCAATCAGATGCTTTTGTTTTCTCTGCATGGTGATACATAGATACTTTAACCCCTTAAGATTGAACATCAACAAAACGAGAAAAAACTATAATGATGATTGCAATAAAAAGTAGAAGGATGGATCTCTGTTCTGACATATCAGAATTTCTAAACTTTTATTTACTCAAAAGCAGGTCACATATTTTGCTGCAAGTAGCAGCAGGGATGGGTTGAGTATGCAACAATTGCACCCAGGTAAAAGTAGCATTGCTGCAACAAATTTTTGCTCAACTAAATGTAAAAATTAGTAATCTAAGAAATTACTCAGCTATGATCAAAATTAATTTGTTAAAACGCCACTTTAAATACCGGGTAATTGATAACATTTGACTCAATATTTAGATATATCTTATCAGATAGACAAAATTATAAAGTTCTGTAAAAATTCTGGTATTTAAAGACAATAACAACGTGGTGGATACACATGAATAACATGATTAAAAAACAAGAAGTCCAGGCAGAAGAAACACTTAAGATCACTTAAGTATATATTGGTTCAGAGATTATATAAGCATAACATTGTAATTACAAAGCTTATGTAGCAGTAAGAGTCTCACCTAAGATTAACTGTACATGGCTGTGTCTGGGGCAGTTTTGGTTAAAAAGGGTTCTCCATTAGTGTAGTTATCCTTGGCTGGAAGAGGAGCCAGAAATTATACTCAATTAAAAACATAGTGATACTTTAAAAGCAAAAGTAGAGAGGGGTTGAACTATCCTAAAAGTTTTCTTTTTTTCCAAAAAGTTACTCAAGTAAACTTTAATTAGTAAATAGGGCCAGGTTGAAATACAGTAATACAGTGAGTGGCTTAGGATTGGCTTAGGAGGTAGGGATTTGTCCTGTAGTTTATACATTTACATTTGTATTTTAAGGTGTTAGTTGTTTCCAAGTGGCTGAGTTACTTAGTAGGATGAGTTCTCAGAGCAGAGTTACAGTTACACCTCTATTCTACAGTAAAAGTTTCAGGAGATTCAAGACACTGCTGTTTTTTTTTCTTTTTTTTTTGCTTTGTTTTTAAATGAGAAATAGTATTCAACATAGCTGTCCTTATTTTTTGTGGCATTTTTATACTGAAGTTCTGAACAGGTGGTGTAGAATTTGTAGCAGGTGGTTCTACACATCAATAACTCAGGTGGTTTCTGAAAGAAACAAGTTTTTTTTTAATTGTTCTGAAAATTATGTGGAAGCTCATTGGTGGAATTCTCTTATGACAGAAAGAAGGCTGACGATTGACATCATTCTGTCACCCAAAGGGGGGAACATTTATTTACAAAACCGAATTCATACAGCTGTCTTAAAACTTCATACATTCAGCAATGCATCGTCTCGTCTCAGTTAATTCCCCCGCCTTCAATCCATTGTGGGCGGCCTTTTATAGGCTCCACATCGCACTGTGTGGATGCACGTGCACGACTGGACGCTCTGAAGAACTTCCTGGAAGTTCTTGGCCTGTGACCTGATTGCGTGCGAGTGAGCCAGTAAGAACCCTGTTTTTGCCAAGATTCGTACGTGACTCCCAGCTTGTAGACTCCATGTTTACATGTTGCAATCTCTGTGTTGCTAAGTGGGCATAAGGTCAGAAACAGGACTACATAATGCAGTACAACTGCTTCCATATTTGGCAAGCCAGCAAGATATTTATATTCTACAGCATTAGAGACTTTATTTATTGCTAAGACTCATACTTGAACTTCAAGATGTACTGTTTTGTTGCTAAGTAAGTATAGGGCCATGTTGTAGGATATATTCTGATTCTGATTTCTGATTCAGATATGATATAAGACAATAAAACTGCTACTACAATTACATAGAAATGTACTAATATTAGAAAATTGTATTTGTATATTTAAATACTTTTTTTTTTCCAAAAGTGAATACTTGCATTTAACTTGAGTAAATGTTTGACTGAGTAACTTTTACTTGTAGTTGAGTAAAATTTGACTCTGAGTATCAGTACTTTTACCCAAGTACTACTTTTGAGTACTTGTCCACCATTGCCAAAATGTAACTCATTCAAGATGTTGATGTGTAGGTTTGTGAATGAGTGAATGTGGTGTGATGCTGTTTAGTATTATTATACTTATAACACATCACACAAGAACAGGCCTTTTACTATTTTATCAAATAAAACTACTACCCACATCTAGGCACCATGTTAATGAAGACAGGTTAAAATACTGTATTTTATGATGCTAAAGAAAACTTCCTTCTAGGCTTTACATGGCAATAAGTGGCAAAGCATGATAAAGTAAAGATTTCAACTGCACTGAAAGAAAGTTTCAGCATAGTGATTAAGAGCCCCAGATTAGTGTGAGGACTTTTCTGTTTCAAATTAGAGTGCAAATGATAACACAATGTGTTTCATTAGGAATGGAAAAATCGAAACAAATGTTAAAAAAAGACCCTGAAAAAAATGTCACAGATTTTACTACAAATTTCTAAACATAATTTCTGTTGAAGTATGTGAAATTAATTTGGCACTATTTCCATCATAAACACATCAGCTTTTCATCTGAAAACAAAATGCTGTTTTTATTCTGACAACATAGTCAAGCTTATCTTTTTCAACATAAAAAGACTGATGACATTGAAAGTTTCTCTCAAAGTGAACTTTATAAACAGTGGAGAAAATCCCTGCAAAAGTTATACATTTATAATATGTTTACAAGTGTAGTTGCTAAATTTATCAAAATTTTCACAACTTTATATGAAAAAAACATAAAATTTACAGAGAGGCAATACTCCCATAGCAAAATCAGGCAAATCTAATTTTATGCCCTTTATAGCGCATCAATAAGGTGTGGGACAACATGAATAAGCTGTATTGCCAGATGTATTACAGCTATCGGCCTTATCAACAAGGCCAAGACCCGCCCGTGACACTGAACAATGTTTCTCTCCCCCATTCAGGATTTCTGCGTTATTAATGCACAGTCTACTGTTTGTATATAGCTTCTGTGTATATATATATATATATATATATATATATTTATATATATTCTATGTTATTTTGCTATCTTGTTTTGTTTTGTTTTTTGTCTGCATTCCTTGTAAGTGCAAACCTACTTGGCAATAAACTTGATTCTGATTCTGACAAACTAAAAAAAAGTTAAACAAACCACCATCCATGTCCAGATATGTTTTTAAATTAATAATTTTTCAATAAAAACATATAACATTTTTCACTTTTGCTGTTAGGTTACATGATGCTGAAGTTTTTAGCTGTTTAAGTGATGAGCCATTCCATAACTTTTGCAGTTGATACTTCTGTTTAACACTTACAGCATCTGTAAGTAGGGCTCATTTGTATCTTTCTTAACACAGATTTAACTACAATATTTGTTTATTAAAAAGAATGATATATTTTATTAAAGTAAAAATGTTAAATAAATGTTTAACCTACCTTATTACATTTTTTAAGTTACAAGTAAATAGATGGATATCAATTTTCTAATAAACAACGCAAGAATTATCCCAGCCTTTGATTACTCAAACAATAATAAACAAACAAAAACGCATTTTATAATGAGGTGATTGGTATCGCGATAGGTTATTTGAGGATGGGATGTTGGGCACATTCAGCACGTCATTAAAGGGGGAGAAACGCCTTTTAACCGCTCAAGCTGCATTATTGCTTTAACCTGGGGAAAAACAGGGTTTTCTCAATAGTGGAATGTTCAGGATGGCACAACCTGTCAGCCTTTTTTGCAGGACGGGGTATGTGTTGCTGACTCTTAGTGTTTTTGCCACGTTTAATAACGTAATGTCAGTCACTCATTATTCTGTACCCGAGGAAATGGAGGAGGGATCCATCGTTGCGAATTTGGCGTCTGACCTGGGACTAGAAGTGAAAACTCTGAAGACGAGGAGAATGCGCGTTGATGTAGCAAACAAAAAATATATCGACATCAACACAGACACCGGTGAGCTTTTTATTTTGGAAAGAATTAACAGAGAGCTTCTGTGCCCATCGAAAACCTCTTCACACTGTATGCTTAAATTAGACGCGACAATTGAGAACCCGGTGCGCATGTTTAACATTGAGGTAGAAATATTGGACATAAATGATAACGCTCCTCATTTTAGAAGAGGAACAATGCATTTGGACATATCGGAGTCCAGCCCTGTGGGAGAGAGATTTTCTCTGAATAACGCTGCAGACCCGGATGTCGGAACGAATTCTGTGCAGAATTACCACCTGAGCGCAAGTGATCATTTTGCTATTGAAATTCAGACCGGCAGGGACGGGACGAAATTTGCAGACTTGGTTCTGAAAAAGGCTCTGGACAGAGAACAGCAGGCTGTTCATAATCTGATTCTGACTGCTGTGGACGGTGGAGTTCCCACCCGCACGGGTACAGCCAGCATCATTGTTCGCGTGCTAGATGTGAACGACAACGCCCCTTCATTTGACAAAGACAAGTACGTTGTAGATGTGATGGAGAATTCTCCCATTGGCAGCTTGGTAATCAAGCTGAATGCTACAGATTTAGATGAAGGCTCCAATTCTGATATTGTTTATTCATACAGCTTATACACATCAGAGAGAACACAGATGATGTTTAACCTGAATCCAGAAAATGGTGAAATCAGAGTAAAAGAAATGATAAATTATGAAGATGATCAACTTTATGAGATGGAGGTCATAGCCAGTGACAAGGGGCCTAACTCCTTATCTGGACAGAGCAGAGTGACCATCCAGGTGACTGATATGAATGACAACCACCCTGAAATTTCTATTAAATCATTTCAGAGTCCAGTTAAAGAAAATGTGGACACAGACACAGTGATAGCTGTTGTTAGTGTCAGTGATAAAGACTCTGGTGATAATGGAGTGGTTGATCTTCATATTCCAGAGAATATGCCTTTCAAACTGAGGAAGTCCTCTGATAACTATTATGAGTTAGTGTTATCAGAGCCATTAGACCGAGAGAAGGTCCCAGAATATGACATCACTTTTACTGTCAAAGACAGAGGCTCTCCTCCTTTATTTGACAATGAAACTATGACTTTGGAGCTGCTGGATGTTAATGACAATGTTCCACAGTTTCCCCAGTCATTTTATACTATACGTGTCATGGAGAATAATGCACCTGGGGCCTTGCTCAGCTCGCTAACTGCATTTGATCCTGATCTTCATGAAAACCAGTATCTAGTTTATTTTATCATAGAGAAGGAGATCGCCAACACCTCCATGTCCATGCTGTTCTCCATCAATCCAGAGAATGGGAATCTTTATGCTCTGAAAACTTTTGATTATGAGATTGAAAAAGAGTTTCTTTTCCACATCGAGGCCAGAGACTCTGGTTCTCCTCCTCTCAGCAGTAACGTGACTGTTCACATCATTATTGTGGACCAAAATGACAATGCTCCAACTATAGTTTCTCCTTGGCGGGCTCATGGCTCAGTAGTAGAAGAGAAGATCCCCAGATCCACTGATAAAGGCTCTCTGGTGGCTAAAGTGATCGCCTTAGACACAGACTCTGTGCACAACTCTCGGATTACCTACCAGTTTCTCCAGGTGACTGATGCTTCCTTGTTCAGTCTGGATCAATACAATGGAGAGATCCGGACCATGAGGATGTTCAGTTACAAAGACTCCCGCCATCACAGACTGGTTGTTGTTGCCAAGGACAACGGGGAGCCTGCTCTCTCTGCTACAGTCACCATCAAGCTGCTGACAGTGGAGACTGATGTTAAGGCCTACTCTGACATGACTGAGATGCCTCTGGAATATGACATCTTTTCAGATATAAACCTGTATCTGGTCATCGGTCTGGGCTCTGTTTCATTTCTCCTGCTTATCACCATACTGGTCACCATTGTGCTGAAGTGTCAGAAACCAAAGCCCAGCAAAGCTGCTCCTCCCAGCAGGAACAGTGTGATCAGTGAGAGGAACTCCACCATTGCAGACTCCACTCTGGTATCCAATGATGCCTACTGGTACAGTCTGTTTCTGGCAGAGACCAGGAAAGGAAAGCTGGTGGTTAGACAGCCTGTGCCAAAGGGCTCCAGGTACATCGTGTCCAGCCTACCGAGAGGGACAGGACTGTCAGAGACTAGTGGCTCAGCAGCTTCTACTCTGCAGGTACAACGGATTATCGGTTTCAGTATATCTGTAATTTAAATAATATCCTCCTGTGCAAACACAGAAACTTAATCTTACTTTTACCAGGTCAGGTTTAGTTGCTTAATATTCCCAAACCAATTCATACATTTTCTTCTTATAGAACACAGCAAACAATTAAACAGATATGTTTTGGTTTTTAACATTGTGCTCTTAAAGTGTGGAAGCTCATTGGTAGAATTCTCTTATGACAGAAAGAAGGCTGAAGATTGACATCATTCTGTCACCTGGAGGGGGGAACATTTATTTACAAAACAGAATTCATACAGCTGTCTTAAAACTTCAAACATTCAGCAATGCATCGTCTCGTCTCAGTTAATTCCCCCACATTTAATCCATTCTGGGCGGCCTTTTATAGTTTCGCATCACATTACGTAACTGCACATGCACAGGAATATTGTGTCGACATCTTACTGGAATTCCCTCAAGAGGTGTTTACACAGACGTTCTCTGTTTTTTCCAAACCCCCTCATGCAGCCTTGGAGACCATGGTGTTACTAAGACTCAAAACTGACCTTTAAGTTTGGTTGCTAAGTAAGTGTAGGGCCATGTTTAAGGATATATTCTGATTCTGATTTCTGATTCTGATATAAGACAATAAAACTGCTACTACAAAAGTAAACAAACCTGAATATTTATTTGGATTACTCCAGCTGGAGTATCGCTGCTAAAATTAATAACATCATCTCCAAATCAGAGTTCTTTTTATAATGCTTTAGTTAAAACCTGTAAAGAAAATGGATGCCCAGGCTGATACCTGGGCTTCGTCAGCCACACAGTCTAAATGTTCGATTACTCTACTCTTATTCACGATTTTTGAATAATTCCTGCATCATAATATGGAAATATTCCACCTTATTTCACAATGTGTTTTTTTTCCAACTTGAAATCCCACAGATTAGTTCTCAAAGAAAAAGTTTAACATTTGTAAACTTTTTAACTAGAAACAACACTAACTTAAAACAGCTTTTTTATTGCCTATTTACGAAAACATGTCTTCACTTTATGTATCACAAGATTAAAAGAAATAACAACAGCCAGCTTTAAGACTGGTATTAAGAATTGACATTCTAATATTAACCTGGGATATTTTATCTATCTATCTATCTATCTATCTATCTATCTATCTATCTATCTATCTATCTATCTATCTATCTATCTATCTATCTATCTATCTATCTATCTATCTATCTATCTATCTATCTATCTATCTATCTATCTATCTATCTATCTATCTATCTATCTATCTATCTATCTATCTATCTATCTATCTATCTATCTATCTATCTATCTATCTATCTATCTATCTATCTATCTATCTATCTATCTATCTATCTATCTATCTATCTATCTATCTATCTATCTATCTATCTATCTATCTATCTATCTATCTATCTATCTATCTATCTATCTATCTATCTATCTATCTATCTATCTATCTATCTATCTATCTATCTATCTATCTATCTATCTATCTATCTATCTATCTATCTATCTATCTATCTATCTATCTATCTATCTATCTATCTATCTATCTATCTATCTATCTATCTATCTATCTATCTATCTATCTATCTATCTATCTATCTATCTATCTATCTATCTATCTATCTATCTATCTATCTATCTATCTATCTATCTATCTATCTATCTATCTATCTATCTATCTATCTATCTATCTATCTATCTATCTATCTATCTATCTATCTATCTATCTATCTATCTATCTATCTATCTATCTATCTATCTATCTATCTATCTATCTATCTATCTATCTATCTATCTATCTATCTATCTATCTATCTATCTATCTATCTATCTATCTATCTATCTATCTATCTATCTATCATCTGAGGTATGTATCGATGTATTTCCGGCAAACCTTTTTTTTTTTTTTTTTCCCCAAGCCGCTGATATTTTGATCTACTGTAATAAGTTTATCTGTTTATTTCCAAAATGTTTTCTGCAGGACTCACAAATCTCTTTGGTCCTTTTTCTCGTTTTGATCCCATTCTTTGTTTAGAAAATAATTGCCTGAAAATATATGTATTTTTGATGCCAAAGACCTAATCTTTAAATCCTTGTTTTCTTTCTCCTCATTCTAAAGTACCCTAAATGAGGAAGGTCCGCTCAGCAGATGGAGGTATGCAGAATTCCCGCTCCAGAACATGGATAAGTTGCCGTATTTGTGGCATTTTAACTGTTTCTTGTTTCTCTTTTTTTCAGTGGGTATATTTTTTCTTTATTAGGCTTTGTGTTTTGATGTTGGATTGCTTTGAACAAGAATGTGTTTACAGTGTGTCAGGTTTCTTTAGCTTCTAAGATGCATGGTTTGTTGATTGTTACTAATTTTTGTTACTAATTTTATTTCATAATTGAATACTAAAAAGCCAGAAACTTAAATTACCCAATTAAAACCCCTTTTTCAACTTCTTATTTGAAGTTTTTCAACTTCAAATAAGAAGTTATTGCCGTGAACCACATTCAAATATAATAACTGACTTTTGTTCAGACAGTTAAACAAATATGGTGATTCAAATTAATTGTTTTGAAACTATTTTTGTCGCTTTAATTGCTTTTATTTGTAAGGACTGTACTAGACAAGGAATGAAGTCAAACTTTCTTTTAATGTTTTCAACTCATCTTAGTAGTTATATCTGCATCTTTGTAGTTTTTCATCTTGGGACTTTATATATATTTGCTGTCTAAAGTATTACTCACTGGTATGTTGAAAATAAAGAAGGTTCATATTTAGAGCAAAAGGGGTGACATGATATGTAATTTCAACAAGAAAAAAAAAATCTACACCTGGGAAATCTTTGCCTAAAATTCATGTCTTAAAAAAAAAGAAAATGTTTGGAATTGTCATGTTGGGACGAAGTTACTATATATCTTTTAACTCTGTTATGTTTGTAGTTTTCATAGATTCATTTCAAGAAACGGGAGCAAATTGGCTTTAAAAGAATGAAAATGTCACTACTTTGTGAAAACATGCCTGAAAGAGACGGGAAAAAACCCCCATCTAACTGAAATTAGCTTTTTTGTGATATTTGTTGTATGGAGTCTTGTATTCCTAATTATTTTCTATGTTTGTATTAGTGAGCTTAACAATGAGGTAAATAAAAGCCTCTGAAAATGTTCAGATGCAAAAGTAACTGAACATAAAATGAGGGGAAACTCCACCACTGGCCAAACAGAATTGTAAAACTAAAAACCATGAGAAAGTCCAGAAAATTTTGATTAAGACAATTTAAAAGATGCAAGAAAAGTTGGCTTCTAAAAGGCAAAGCATAGAGACATCTGGAAACAGCAGGAGTTTTGCACTCTAGTCTTTATCTAAAAATGAAAATCATATCTGATTCTGACACATTCGTCAGATGCAATCTGAGTTTTAATGCTATAATTTTTTTTTAGTCAATATCTGTATCCTTAATTTAATCACCATTTTGATTCTGTGCATGTGAATATCAATCTGTTCATACCACTTTCTGATAAATCATTGATATTTTAGGAGTGTAACCTGTTTTTCACTAATTTGTAAGAGGAATGGGGATTACCTTTTCTTTCCTCTTTACAGGATGACACTTCAGAGCATGACTGACATTGTCTCCTGTCTTAGATGTGACCTATTTATTTTTTTTTTTGTCCAGGAAATGTGCTAACAGAAATCAGGAACTCAGTTACCTAGCAACCACTCTCCTTAATGTTATTTTGGTGCATGATGTTCAATAACAGTTCTCTCATATCCTAAATACATGTTCAAGTATCGACCTAGTTTCCTTTCACCCACTGTACCCTTTGCCTGCGGCCCCTGTCTCAACTAAAGAAGTCAGCTGCATGACATATCTCAGTTTGGTGAACCACAAGGCTCTCATTGCTGTAGGTCGTTTTCCAAAATTGTCTAATTCTGTCGTCTCATTGACAGGCCTCTACTGCAAGCAGCAGCAGCTCTAAGTAACCCGAGTCCTTCAGCTGTGGACAGGATCCATAACAACAGCAAACACATCACTGAAGAAAAGAGGAACTGCTTTTTGATATCCGTACCCACGTAAATGCCATCCTCTGTCTTGCTCCTGTTCCTTATCGTGTGCAGTCATCATGCAACTCAAATGAAATTTACCAGAGAACATACCCATGCACTCCCTCTTTGTTTGAGCACATACGCAGATCTGATGTCCATACCTATATGCATGAATATAATGCATGGCTTCAACTGTGTTAAAAAAAAAAAAACAGCCATTCAAAACATTTTTAGAGCAGGTACTGACAAATAAGCAGACTGTAACATGGTATCTATTTCTAAGTATGTACAGAAGACACAAAAATTATTCCAAGAGTGGACATAGGAACGCTGAAATGCCTTTCATAGACTTTTTGCATTTTTTAGAAGGAAGCACATGTTGGGTACTTACTGTAAGTTTTATCCATTGTGCCCATTTCTGCGCCATACAAAGTGTATTATATAAACAACCTGAAAAATGAAGTGCTGCACAAATAACTAAATGTCCCAAAATTGAAAGAAAAACAAATATTAATACAAAGGAATAATATTTAATAAATTAGCGTTAGCCTCTTTTTAAGTTATGTTTGGTACTAATGTTTTATGAGTTAGTCCAGCTTAAATGTATGAAAATGTCACGTCCATCATAAGCACAAATGAACAGGACTGAGGACTTCAGCCATAATGTCCTTCGGTTCTTTCTATTTATAAAAGAGTAAATTTGCAGTTTCAATAAACCTTTGCTTCCTTACAAGAGAAACACACACATATACCCTTTCCCATGACTTCAAATTTCAATCTTAACATATCTGAAGGTTTTGGCTACTTGAACATTATTAAAGGTGTCTTGAGGTCTCATTGAGTGAGTGAACGTGAAAGAACAACCTGATTTGTTCTTGTATTAACTGTATATAATGCTAGAAATGGTAATGAATTTGTTTTTTTTAGTTGATTTTGTAATCCATTCTGTAAAATTTGCATAATTTCAGTATTTTCAGTGGTGCAACATGACAAACCTTGATTGTTAATTTACAAAATGCAAACAGCATACTATACCTGTTTTGGTTTGTTTTTTTATCCAATGGAAGTTTTATGTATTTTACTGAATTGTACGTGTCACTTTACAGAGGAAACAATTCACTTACATGCAGCAGACGTAAGCTGAAACATATGCCTGTTTATTAATATACATTTGTATCATCAATATAGGGCTTTTAAGCCTCTTTAATGTGAACCGAATTATGTGCCAACAGATTTAAGTCAGCCTGTCTCTGCAAGAATACAACAACCATCTTGTCAAACTCTTTAGTACAGCTTGGTTTTGTAGTTAGAAAGTTCAATGTTTTCAATCAAACATATTGTAATTCCAGTGTTACTTTCACAGTGAAATATGTAGAACGTGTGTTAGTTATATACTGTGGTCTGTGAATTACAAAATAAAACATAAAAACACTAAAGTCTCTTTAATTTTTGATCAAAATGTATAACTTGATGATTAGCATTGTTTTTTTTTTTTGTTCTGAAGTAAATTTCGCTTTGAGTGGATAGTTTTAAAACAAACTACTCTTTTTAAGACTTCAGGTTAGTCTGTGTTGAAAGAGTAATCTAGATGACATCAATTCACTCCCTATCTTCTTTTTTAGAGGTACTCAAAATAAATGTCATTATTTTAAGCAATCCACAAAACCTCTTTGTCTAAATGAGTGCTGCTCTTAATTTTTGTCATTTAGATAACAGTATGTTATTGCAACATATTCATTAGTTTAACTCTTGTATATGCAGTGCAACAGTGGGGAAAAATCTTTCTATACAAAGAAACCCTTTGCAAAATTAATTAGCAACTAGGCCTATTGCACTGAAGAAATTTCTACAAGAAGTGGCTGGTAAAGTATTTCTTTTGTGTGTGTAATTGATGACTTTTTGATAAGCTTCATACAATAATTAGATTTCATTTTTATGTAGATTCGAACATAGTATAAGCAGGTATAGCCAATAATATGACAGATTAAACAAAAATAGAGGTGACTATTTGGAGTTGTATTGGAACTTCAACATCCTGGAGAAAAGCTGTTCCTCAATGGAGCATTAGAAACTCTTCAAATCAACAGATATTCATTGAACTTGCATCTAGGAATCTGTTTGGATTTGGACATGAGTTGATTTTCCTCCAGCAGCTGTGTCAGTTCTGTGCAGAGCATGGTGTGCTACTCAAGTATACTGTATGGTTTACATGTTAACATATCCTTGTCTTTCATGAAAAGATCCTCAGAAAATCATTTTCTTATTATTACCAATATAGATAATAAATACAATGAGGTAAATAACTTGAAAAACTGAAGACTTATATAGATGATGTTTGTTAAATGAAGGAATACAATTAAAGCCAAATATAATTAATGAGAAAATTGCCAGGAGGGGTGGGTAACATGTTGAATATTTTAAAATAGAAATATTGTAAGGCACAAAACCAAATCACAGTATTCATGCCTTTTACATCAGTTAAACTGTTCAAGATTCATTTCCACCTTGAAAAAAAAGTGTGTTAAGGTTCATAGACGCCTATGAATATGACATTATCCAAAAAGAATATAATATTTTAAAATAAAAGAAATTTTGGTTGAGTCTGGTTTGATGTGAGTGTTCAATGAGTGATTAATGTTGTTGTTTTGACTAAAAGTTTATTTTTTTCAAGTCTATATTAACCGAAGAGATTCACCATGGTTAAAAGGATTCCAGAGGTCCTTTATAAATATATAAACTATTCCATGGGTGTGTGGACAAGATTGATGTTTATTTTTTTGTTGGTCTATCTGGTAGGACATTAAACATTACAAAAAGAAAAAGAACCAAAAAATAAAAATAACTAATTATATATATATATATATATATATATATATATATATATATATATATATATATATATATATATATATATATATATATATATATATATATATATATATATATATATATATATATATATATATATTTGTACACCTTTAGTTAATTGAAATGCAAAGAAACTCCCAGGTTGCAATGTTATTCTCAGTTCAGCCTCTTATATATATATATATATATATATATATATATATATATATATATATATATATATATATATATATATATATATATATATATATATATATATATATATGATTGGAAGGCAAGCAGATGAGGAAGTAGTTGTTTTCTGTCCGGAAGTATTAAGCACATTTCTGAATGTGTTTGAATGTGTTTGCTGTTGAAAACCTGCTTTTGCTTGCTTTTGATTTTTTAAATTTTTTAATCATGGCTTGATTTCGAAAACTCAATGCAGGTAGCTCCTTTTAAATTGGTTGTATGTATAGATGTTTCGTTATGGCCACAGTATTTTAAAGTGGTTCTAAATTGTCCAACAGCACATGATGTGTCCAGTATAGTTTATAGGTTTTTACATATTGTATTTTATCAACTATTACAGTGAAAAGTGTATCTAGAACTTTTAGATCATTTGATTTGTTTTGTAGCTTATCATGTTACCTGTTGGTTTGATATAGATCATTTTTTATTAGTGGAGATATATGGCACTTAAAGCCCTAATATTACAAGTGCTATCTACATATACAAAAAAACCTACAAATATAAAGAGATACTGGCATAAATAACAAATATCAAAATAATTATATATGATAGTTAATGGTTTGTGCCCATTTTAACTTTTAAATAAGATTGAATTTAATCATTTATTCTAATACAGGTATACAGAAGGTTTCAATAAACCTTAATAAATCTGTATAATAACAATTATGTTAACTGTATATACACCTATTAGCTTTCATTAATGTAACAACAGTGTAACTGCACTCTGCTTTTGATGTTGAACTTGCAGCAAAGATTGGATTCATAAAATCCAGGAGAGGTCAAAGTTAATCTGAAGAGCATCACCTACCCTGACATCCATCTGAGCTTCAGCAGGAGCCTTTAGTTCAAACATCAGCTGTTGTGCTTTACAGAGACCCTGGTATCAGTGAAGTTAACTTTAAACACTTCAAATCAAGGCTATTAAAAGCAGAGCAAACAAATCAGAACATAACAACAGCATTTATTCACAAAGAAAGAGTAAAGAACACAAGATCTATCTAAAATAAGTGCACTATTAACATGTAGTACACTTATTAAATGCTACCTGTCTCCTCTGCCCTGCGCCACCTGTTCCTCTGGGTGGAGCGGGACACAGAGGCTGTGTGTGCACGGTCACTGTTTTTGCAGGTAAAACCAGGGCAGGAGCAGCTGATGGGTGACCAGTCATTGTTAATCCAGGGTTCCCCAGAATTAACTGCAGTGGTGGCACAGGAGCTGGGAGAGGTGGAGAAGAACCTACTGGGGTGATGGCTGGTCAGCTGCCTGGGTGCAGATTAGGAGCTTGTTCAGCTCTATTTGGAGGGAGGACCAACTCTTGCTGGAGCCCTGAGGTGGAAAGAGCTTGGATAAGCCATTCCTCAGGAGCAGGAACACAGCAATGCCCAGGGTGAAGACACTTATCTCGGAGCTACTCTCCCTTCGAATAAACCTGCAATCAGAAAGTTGTCATCATTATTATTAACTGCAACATATTTGTTCCAGATGCTTTATCAAAACTGTTCTTCATACCACTGGGTAGGGGTCCTCTGGTTCAGGAGAAGCTGCAGACAAGAAGCCTCCATTAGGGAGTGGCGATTCAGCACCAGGTCTCTGATGTGGTGGTAATCACTCAGCAATTTTGTCCACGAGGAAGCCGGACTCCAGTCTTCTTTTTTAGAGACCTGTGCAGCGAGCACAGCTTGATGTACATGGCCTCCACAAAGCAGCTGGGCCAATGGGCAGGACCCCCTGGATGACCAATCAGGCACCTCTTCACGCTGTCACTGGACCAGCTTGGTTTAGTGCCTGGGCTTGTGGTGGATCCTTCTCTGCTCCACATCAGGAATGGCAGACCACAGGGGGATGACCTCTGTGACCTGCTGCTGCTCTAGGTAGAGAGCCTGACTGAGTGACACCAGGTACTCTGCCAAATTTTGCATGTTATCCCAGCCAGGGATCATGTCAGGTCCATGAACTGCAGCCTGCAAGGAAGCATTAGAACACAAACACAGCATGTCAAAATCAGTGTCAGAGCACAGACATGAGGAATGTGGTGCTGCAGAGAAGTACATTCTAGACTTAGACACACATTATTGTTACTTTGTACGCACAGGGTGTATACAAAACAAGATTTTGTTTAGTACAGCTCTCAAGACATTTCCATTTCATAAAGTGCAGCAGTGATAAAATGTAAATGTATGTAATGTAAACATGGTGATCAAATGTAGACATAATACTAAGATATGATTTACAGTTTTTCCAACATTCATAATTTTTTTTTTTGGTTTTATTTAACATTCAGCAGTCTAATGGCAGTGGGGAAGAAGCTGTTCTGGAATCTGCTGGACCTGCAACCAATGCTCCTAGAGGGCAGGAGGGAGAACAGTCCACGGTGGGGGTGTGAGGGGTCATTTATAATTGTACAGGCTTGGGACATGCAGCACCGAGATGAAATGTCTGTTATGGAGGGAAGAGGAGCCAAGATGATCTTCTCTGCAGTTCTCACCACTCTCCTTACCTTCTTCCAGTCTACGTCGCTTCTGTCCCAACACTACACAATAAGACAGCTGGTCAGAATGCTCTCTATTGTGCTTCTGCATAAGGTCGTGAGGATGGGTCAGGGCAGGTGGGCTCTCCTCATCCTCCTCAGGAAGTACATGTGCTTTTGTGCCTTTTTGACCAGTGAGGTGGTGTTTACAAAAACACAAAGTTCATGGGATAAATTAAAACATAACACAACCCATGTTTTCTTAAAGGTCCTGTAGAAAATGTAAAACGTAATAGTTGTGCTACTGTAAATAATTGTTATGGATCATCTTTATTAATATTAACATTTCTTTTATCTTTCTAAGTAACAATTTTTAATGTTTATCTTCCATTTGCAGGATACAGAGATGTTCTGAATATAACTGACCCAGATCTCTTAAAAACAACTTCAAGCAACTCATCTGTGACAGGGAAGAGTCTTCACTTGTAGAAAACTAGGAATATATATATATATATATATATATATATATATATATATATATATATATATATATATATATATATATATATATATATATATATATATATATTCAGGTATTTAAGAAATATTATTAATGTTCATTCTGATTGACCTTTAATTGTATTTCTCTTGTAATGAATCACGTAAAGTTTGGGTATTGGTAAAACTCTGGTAAAAACTGTAAAGGTTTAATAAAGTTTTTGAAACTTCTCTTCTGTTTTGTTTTGAATGAAAGAAAACTGAATCAGGCTCTCATGTTAACATTTATTGTAAATGGGATTTGTGTTTTATCTCCATATCCACTCAATTATCTATTAAATTGGATGGTCATAATAATTTTGTACCTTGACT